TAGAAAATACAAGAAACAAAAAATTTAAAAAATTTTATGTGTTGGGTTAAATAGAAAATGATAGAAAAAATAATTTTCTTTCATACTTAAATTTTCTCACAATTAACCAAATTTTTTTTCTTGTAAAAAATACAAAAAAATACAAAAAAGTTGTGATATTTAATTAACTTCCAAAGTTATCCATATTTTTCTTAAAATATTTTATTGGTTATTAATTTTAAAAAATCTTAGTATGAATTTGATTAACCATATAATTTAATTATGAGAACTTAGTGTTGGTGATTGTCCTAGAATTAGGTTAGGAGACAGTTTTTTAAAATTTTAATTAAAATAAATATTTTTTACTTCTTTCGATCGATTTAATATACTTAAGGATAATTTATACAATTAAAAAAAATTCTTGTAACTTTCATTTCTTTCAAATAATAGATTGGATTTTTTTAAAAACTTTATCACAATTTTTTTATGCTAATCAGATAAATATATGAAAATATATTTTATTTTCTTTTACTTCACTTTTTATCATTTTTGCTTTTCATTACTCTTTTATTCATAACCAAACGGACATTAAGTGGTTGGAACAAATTAGAACGTATTGAGCTAGAGAGTAAACACATCAAATTGAGGCGAAAAAACTACATTAGGGACACACAATCCTAGTAAAATTCATTTGTAGGACACAAATTTATTGAAGATTTTTATATAGAAGAAATGAAATATGAAATTTAGTTTCAATCGAACAAAGATCAATTTTTGTACATGGACCACGCCATTTTTAACTTGAATGCTCTGTCTCTCTTCTTCTTTTTGGTTTAGCGGACAAGAGTGTCTAAACTAGTTTACGCGCACATTAATTAATCTCTTTTCTGATTCGATTAAAGGCAAATTATCTACGCTGAAACTAAAATATTCATGAAGGATAATTTTTCGTGACTTGACTCCAATTCTCGATCTTTCAAGTCCCACCGCACACCTAGTATTTAAGAAATATAGCCAACCACATGATCTTCTTGGCCTAAGCTATTCATTTTCCAATTATAATTAAGTTATTCAACCCACTCGTCTATACTAAATTAGTTACCAATATTTTTAATCATTTCACACCTGTAAGCCAGTTTTTTTTTATAGTTATGCATAGTTCATTGACATCACCTACCCAACAACCAAGCACCACGGGACTGACCACATCCCATGCCGAGTTTGGACTGATTAGTGTAGTACATGCTGGGATTAGTACATGGATTTTTTATTTTTTTTTAATTTCATGAAAATGAAAGACTTCATTCGTATTTGTATGTATATAGACGGTTGAACCTGTTTGAACAAGAAAAATGGAGGGTTGAAAATATATTAAGGCCTCTGAGATGATTTGAGCAAAGCATGAGTAGGAGTGTCAATTTTACCCATTAATACTAATCCATTCCAACAAAAAACTTGAAAATGACACAATTAGTTGACATTAACAGCCCGACTAAGACCCAACCTAGATCAGAGATACATACCAGGTTCAGCTCAAACATATAGGCAAAACCCACCACAGGATCAAAGAATTTCAATTGGGCCAATCTCACATTCTTGAGAGACTTAACTCATCATCAGTGCACATAAGAATCTCCATTTGAAAAAAAAGAATCTGTGGGAACGCAGTTATTAAGGGCACATTGTCAATCTCGCAAGATCACTTCGCTCATTACGAAATAGGGCGAGCTTCAAAAAATTACCTTGCTATCATCTCACCCGTTACAAGGATAAGACAAGTTTCACGAAATCACCCCCTCTCCTTATTACGAGGATGGCGCCTTAGTTAGAGTCCCTCGAAGCCAATTTTCCTCACCTATAAATTGTAAGCCACTTACACATAAGGAATATCACACATATCTTAGTACACTACACCTCTCAAATAATAGGATTCTACGGTCACCTTAGCCATTCTCAGTGAAGTAGATCACCCTGACTAAACGACCTAATCTTTGTGTTTGTTTGTGTGAATCTTCTTCCTAATTTTTGCATTAAATACTTGATAGGTGGCCGAAAACAAGTATAAACACATTTTGTGCAACATCAAACCCGAGTAATAAATGAGTGAAGTAAAGTTAGACACGAATTAATTAATAGGTACTGTAGATAGAAAATAAGTATTTAACGAGTATTGTCAAACCAAATCAAATTAAGAAATCATTTGGGATCGACTATATGAGTCTGTCTTCATCATTCATTTCGGTAATACATTATACGCTTATTTAAGTTAAATATTTTTATATCTTTTTTTTCTCTACTCTTAGTACCATTAAGAGAAATTCTAAATATTTAACGAATATTATAAACAGAAAATAAACATTATTTAATTTTTTAAATTTTTAAATTTTTTAAATAGTATTATCTAAGTTGTTGTAGCATTAAATAATTTTTTATTAATACAAACTTGACACGTACCGAAAATGACACAAACGAAAGAGACGCGACATTTCAATGCTCCGTCCGGTGTCACGTACATTCTAAATAGCTTTATGAATGGTGACCAATCTATTCTTAAGGAAAATCATGGATATAGCTACATATACTGATATACCAAATAGTCAACTGAGAAGCAATTTCAAGATCTATAAACAGTTGTAGGTTTATTGAATAAGAACATAATTCATTTTCTTTATCTATAAATAAATAAATTTTTTGTGCTACATAAGCGATTCTTTTTTTTTTTTTGGTTCAACGATAAAAAGTGTCTGAACTGGCTTATACAGACCACGACTAATCTTCTCTCCGGTCCGGTCAAAGACACGCACAAACAAATTATTCATTAAAGAGTTGAAAAACTTACCACTAATGTGTTTGAATATTGACAATTGGCGGAAAATAGAACAATCTTACAATTGTCCGGAAAGAGACCTCAAATTCCTTCATATATAATCAACTATTAATGAGTGAGGGTTCCATTTGTATATAATATGTAGAACTATTAAAACTCCAATGTTACCCTACACCCCAGGTGTCTTTCATGATGACCTTAATGGAGCTCATCTCTGTAACTGGGTCTACAGGTTAGCCAACATTAAGCAATGTCAACTAAAACAGGCCACCAAACAGACAAAGCCTCTTCATTTATCAAACTCCTCCTCCATTCCAAAGGAGAGAGGTTTCGGATTGGCAAATTGTAGAGGTGTCCATGGATTGGGTTATCCACGGATCTTGTTATTGGGCCTCAAAAAAATAAGTTCGAAATTTGATAAGTCTAATAGTTGGTCCTTTCGAACCGGAGCTCAACACCCTTCAAGAGAGGGCTTAGGTTTACCCTCAAACCCATCATCCACCCGAAACCCGACCCTTGAGCCTGCAAAACCCGGCCCATGAGCCCTCCAGCCAAGCCTAACCCACCCATATGTCCTTTCACCCAATTGTTTGAAAAAATCTTGACTATTGAAACTTTGAAAGTTTAGTGGTAATATATGACTATTTTATTTAAATAAAATTATTCGGTATTTATTTTTTATCTATATATATATATATATATAAAGACCCACCCAACAGGCTCGTCCAATAAGCGACGAATTGGGTTGCGGGTAGTTTATTCTTATCCAAAATCTAGTCCGACTCATCCGATAACTCGTCTGGATAGCCCAGCCGATGGACGCACCTAGCAAATTGTGTAAAGAAAATTTTTCCCACAAAAATGACCCCACCCTAACTATTTTGCGATGTTGTCCGCTTTAAGTTCCCCCCTCCCCCCACCCCAATTGTAACTGTTTAATAGTTATTTTTTCTAATATGACAATATGAACCATAGACATGGATCACAGACAACACTAACTCCCTCTCTATGTGCGTGTTGAGATTTGTCGTGTAGATTGTTGTGTGTATTTCTTCTGTGCATATTCTATCAAAAAAAAAAGACAACACTAACCTACTCACTTCACACTTATCGAGGTTCTATTAGACTATTAGATGGCTAGACTTTTAGTTGTCATTAGAACCTGATGGGTTAAGCCCAAGTAGTCCAATTTATGTATTAAAGCCCAACTCCGGTTGAAGAGCCCAATCTCATCGTGAATCCACCAAGCCAAAGGAGCCCAAGGTCGGTCAGACTTCTTGCTTAGCACGTCACCAAGAGGAGAGCACGGGAAGTTTATCTGCACCGCCTTAAGGAACCCAAGGTCGGTTAGACTTCTTGCTTAGCACGTCACCAAGAGGAGAGCACGGGAAGTTTATCTGCACCGCCTTAAGGAGCCCAATGCCGGTTAGACTTCTTGCTCAGCACGTCACCAAGAAGAGAGCACGGGAAGCTTATCCGCACCACCGAAGGAAGGAAACGGTCCAATCATTGACCACGTTTCAAGAAGAGCTCCCCAACCTCTTCCTTCCGTTGAGGATAAGTCGTGATCTCCACCAAAGATAATCTCTAAGCTGCGATAAAGAAGCCTTGAGGATATGTCATGATCTCCACAAGAATGATCTCTTATCTACTATAAAATGGCTCTAATCTGGGAGAAAGAGGGAGACATGCTCCATCAGAGACTTACAGAAGACGAACCGACTACCGGAGATTATTATTTTCTCTGATTCTCCATTCCCCCTCTCAAAGCTTGTATCTCCATTCTCCATACCCTTGAATCAATAAAATACCCGGCGACTGAAGCCATTGAAGAGTGGACGTAGGTCGAATTGACCGAACCACTATATATTGTGTCTTTTCTAATTTTTTCGTTGATTTCATTGCATTTATTATCTATACTTGACAGGTGGTGTGCAAAATCATTTTTGTGCATCATCAGAACCCATTCGATTATGAGTAAATTTTGTGATACGTTTTAGAGGAAATTGAGAGTGCTATTCTTACTTCTGTGAGTGATGCAGTAACTTTCTTCGCTTTGTGGGAAAATCGTAACAACAGTAGAGCATCAACAAATCAAAGTATCCAATAATGAGGAAGAACTCATAGTGGTTCTTGTTGACACAGCTCAAGACTTTCTGAGAAAATTAGTGGGTGCTGTTGAGGAGATAGCATTTCAATAGTGCTTGACAGTTACATTGAGCTTAAGAATTGCTCTCAAGTTAGGTATGTCAAGGAACTCTGTTGTCATAATTCCATATCCCTTCACAAATCTAAAGTAGCCTGTCCCCGAAACAATCGAAAATTCTCTTTCTTTCATTGAGAAAGGATCAGGCCCTTGAATTTCCAAACTACTTCCTTTATATTCTCCATCAGTGAAAATCACAGAGAACATCAAGTACAATGCCTTACCATCCAACTGTGAGTTCATGTACATACCTTGGGCCCTACCAATGTTTTTCGACGCTGAATCTGGGCCTTCGGTTACTGGATCATCGACGGCCAAGATAGTTCCGAATTCAAGTATACTTGCAGTAGGCCCATTTTTTCCAGCCACAGTGATAGCAGAAGTGTCATGGCCAGTTAAGTTGTCATGAACATAGAAGACAAGGTTGGTTTGCTTGGCTTTACGCCACTTGAAGGTGTATGCCCAATGGAGGAAAGGAATAGCAAGAAGGGGGATAAGAGAATTGGAGGCAAAGCTGAGGAGATTTGGCATGGCTTTGTGTTTGTGTGAGCTTGGAGGTGGAAGGGTTGATGTTTGATATCTATAGATGGTGTTGAAGATGCTTAGGCTATGGATTAGAATTGTTACATGAGGAAAATGACAAAGTGGTTAGCTAATACTAAGCAATTTTTTTGGGATTAGTACAAAGTTTGATGCTTTTTATATATTTAATTTGGTGGGTAGGTCTAAAATAAGGTGATTACTACAACAGGTTTTGGCCTGATTATGTTTGTCAGGATTCTCCCCAAAACAATTCCGGAGGTGGTGGAGGTAAGCGTCAGGAATGGGCTCGATTGGGCCTACAAGATTCTTCAATCAACCGCCCATGAGACCACAAGTCGAGAAGTTGGGACATTGGCAAGTTAATGGATCGGGCGGAATAACTACCTCATGGTCTAACTCTAGTAAATTGTCAAAGTATGAATTCTGAGTTTACAACTCATCATCTTACCATGTAAAACTACCTTCTTGATAGTTTTAAAACTGAAACAAGTAATAAAGGCACATTGCAAAAAGTACAACACATTTGACATTACCTTTCTCACCATTCCTCTCTAACAATTCATTCCACTCTAACAATTCATTTCATAACGTCTAAAGTCTATTACTACACATGGATAACAGGATAAGCAACAAATTTGCTAATCAGTTGTCTCTGGTTTCATTCTCTTTCTTTCTCTCGTCTTTTCTTGAACTTCCCCATTCTCGGATAGTGAGCTTTGATGTAAACATGCAACCTCAATCAATGTCATAATCAGAGAGAGAGAGAGAGAGAGAGAGAGAGAGAGAGAGGCTTTCAATGTACAGCTTTTGCTTTGTTGAGACTTGTTTGCCATTTTCTTCAACCCATCTAGCCTCGGCTGACACTTCCTGGACCCTTTTATGTGAAGATTCACAAAAGACCCGACAATATCTTCACATCTAAAGAAAAGAGAGGGAAAGATAAAACTATTCTCTCTCTCTCTCTCTCATGTATGTTGTTGGTTCTTGGAGACCAAGAAAAGATGTACTGCCCTTAGAAGTGAGAGCACACGCACTGCAAAAGCAGCACTAAGTCTCATCAGGCCTTCCATGCACCACGCAGCCGTCTAAATAGTAGCTTTTGACTCTGAAATTTCACTTTAGAACAGTGCAGATTCTCAAGATACATGGGGATGACCAATATGTATTTTTTTGGTCAAGACGCATAGGTATTGACCACCATGGAATGATCACCGAAAGAAACTTTAAACAGATCTGAAACTTGTAAAAAGCAATTGGTTTTGGTTCAATTTGCTGTGTGCTAGGCTCTGAAAAGGCTGAAAAAAATTGTGGTTCTTTTTGGGTGTTGGGTTTTGCCATTTGGGTGTTCGTGTTGTGGGTTGTAGTCAGCTCAGCAAAACTTGGCAGATTTGAATGTAAGTGAGTACATGAAAGAGTTTGAGTAGGTGAATCTGATAATCTGACTGGTCCTCAATGGCCTCCCTCCATTCAACAAGCAATCATCATAAGACATCCTCTTGAAGGTTCTTGGGTTCACTATTCTTGCTGAGGCAAACCAACCACAGTGGAGGTGAATGTTTGAAGGTGCACAACCAGAAACACAGGTGTTCACAATTTGGACTACGTATTGGGGTATACCAGTTGATGAATATCTGCTCTGCGAAATGCTTATGTCTCTGTTTGTGCAAGTCCCTGATGAATCAAACATTGTTATTTGTTACTAATGACACACACACACACACGCCCCACCCAACTAAAAACTACTACTGTCCCAAAAAAGCTGAAAACGAAAAATCAAACTCATTGAAAGAAAGCCCAGAAAGATGGGTGACATTGAGTTGGAATTTTACCATGTAACAAAAGCTTTCTGTGGTTTAGGTATGCCTCTTCTGGTTTGATGGTTGTGGTGGTGTTGTCCCCATGGGCTGAATGAAAATACTTGCCTGACAAATCTGTCAAAATGAAAGAATAAGCTTATAGGGAAACCATCACATTGGGAGTATGTGTTTTTTTTTGTGCAAATTAAGGTAAAGATGAGGTGCAAGAGCCCAAGAAATTCGAATAAGTTATGCAAAAGAAGTTTAGTTCTGCAGTACCTGAATGAAATCCAATGTAGCAGACTAGAATGATAGCCACCATCAAGTAGAAGAAAAAACAATAAACAGAGCTCATGATAGCTTGTGTTTTGCAAGAAGAAAATGGTTTTCAGAAGCTTCCCATCACTGCTTGTTATATGAGAGAGAGAGAGAGAAAGAGAGAGGAGGGGGGGGGGGTAATGGGATTTGAATGGTGTGAAGACTTTTACTGGCATACGAAAACGATGGTGTGGCTCCTTTAAATCAAAATGCAAAGAGGGAGGAGACAGAGAGAGACATAAGAGAGTACTCCAACATTCTCTTGGCCATCTTATTTTCACTACTTTTATGCTTCTTGTGCTGTGACTACTTTTATACCAACTTGCCAAGGCAAAAGATGAAAAGAAATACAAACTCTTGTTGCATCATTAAGTTTGACTTGTGCTAATCTACAAGTCTTAGGTTCAATTTTATTTTACATTTCTTAAGTGTTAGTCACTTTTGTTCTTTTAGAGACATACTCTAATTCAGTTAACGTTATAGTGATCAACTGCTGAATTCAAGAGAGTAATCGGTACAAACATAAATACGCTGTAGAGAAAAAAAAAAAAGTTATGCCTTCGGTTCAAAAAAATAAAAGAAAAACAGCTATGCCTGCTAGCCCCTAACCAGACAGAAAAGTCTCTTCTATGTTTTGAAGTATCCCAAGGAAGAAGGCTAGGGGTACAGTCTCGGGGAGAAAGTTATATCCCTCAAAGTATCTTATGGGGGAAGTTAGTTTTGCTTTGGTCAAGTTGTTCTAAGCACAGTACTCAACAAAATCAATCTTGACCAATTGTACTTGGAAAAAATTAAAGAAAAGAACTTCTCTGATTAAAATTATGCTACATGGAAAATTTTATTGTTTTGAACAAAATCTGAATTGAGTCCTGATTGCATATGAATTTGTTATAACATGATGGGGTATATTATTCGTTGTGCAAGACAGTTATAAACTATTGTACATAGATTTATGATCACTTGTGACTTTGATTACGAGAGCAGCGTATGGTACATTATATCTCATTTGGGATCTCAAATTCCACTAATTTATGGGTCTCGTCACAGAGGGCTATTGTAAATTCCTCCAATTGTATGTCATATTTAGTTTGAATGACAGGAGGGAGACTAGAGAATAGCTGAAATTGTACAATTCACATTGTTACAGATATTCAGGTGGACAGGGGGTCTTTAGTCTAGTAACATCACAATCCCTTATCCCCTGTACGTCCCCTGTTTTTTTTGTATCCATTGAAGTGAAACATTTGGTTGGTCCAAAAACCGAATCCTCCATTTCTATTCCACGTGTTCAACTAGTATAAACTCTCTCTCTCTCTCTCTCTCTCTCTCTCTCTCTCTCGATAGACCCTTAGATAGGACGGCATCTTAAGAAAGAACAGAAGCCTACCAGTCTCAGTTGTACCTAAAAAAGTTGCAGGGAAGCATTGGCAATATAGCAGTAGCCAGGAAAACCAACCAAAAACAGCAACTTTGATAGATTCCATGCTAGAAGAGTGAAGTTTTCCATTTAAGCCAAAGCCTATGTATGTGCAACTATATATTTGAGAAATACTATTGATTATATGGTTTGAAAATAACTCTTAAATTATACAGGCTTCCCTAGATTTATTAGAAATAAAGTAAAGCACAGTTAGAAGTCTGTGAGATATGACCTAGAGAACAAATCACCTTCACATTTGCTTGGCATTTTTATTTTTTGATTGCAATGACATGGTGGGGGTAGTTGAACCAGTGATTTTTCACTGGGTTTATAATCGAGTCGAATTCGAGTCGAATTTTGTGAGTACAAACTTGTTTTTTTAAATGAACATAAAAAGTTGTTCAAGTTCAGGTCGTTTAGAAAATGAGCTGAACCTAAAACGAGCTGAATCCGAGACGAACCCGAGTAATTCGACTATTTTAGATATAAATGAGCCAAGTTTTACAAGCTCGAACTTAGCCTCTTAAGCTTGTTTTGTAAACGAGTCTAAAAAATTGTTCAAGTTCGACTTGTTTAAAACACGAGCCGAGTTTGAATCGAGTTCTATCCAAATCGAGCCCGAATAGCTCGGTTCAATTATTGGTCCTATCTTCCGCTCCATTAGAGAAGGGTTCTACCATTTGAATATGACCTCAATCCTCATTTCTTTGGCTTATGGGAAGAGAAACATGTAGTAGACTACTTATAGTTTAATTGCCTACATATGGACAGAAAGGAAGAGAGGGGGAGGGGGAGGGGAGTGGGGGTAGGGTGTTCGTGGGGAGACCATCAGCTGTTAGTAGTTGTGAGCATGTGGAGGAATTAAAGAGTTGCACGATTATTAACATTATATAAAGAGGAGGTTGAGTAGTAATTGAAACTGAAGTCAACTTGGTTTGGGGGAAAGATTGAAACTTTTTTTTTTGTTCATAGGTAAAAGAGTATTCGTACCAATTTACGTGAATTTTGACTAATTTTCTCTCTATTTCAATTAAAGAGGGTAAGATTGAAACTTTCTCAATTAACTAATCGATAAAATTATTTGATGGAAGTTTGATACTAATTGGTGGTAGTGGTGCGAGGTGGCAGTGGTAAGTGCATTTCTTTTTTCGGGATGAAGTTTAATTCTATATAGATGTTGATGAATAAGTGTTTTATACACCCTAATTTTTATAATTAATTGACTTAAATATCGAATAATCATAGGCCATCACCGTATCGGTGCCCATTGACCTTCATTGACTTCTTCAGTCTTTCTTGCAGATTCAGTTTCATCTCTGGCTGGAAACCTCATTCACACATCAACATATAATGCTGATGTTGAACTTAGATAAAATTTATGGAAATGCTTGCTTACAGTTCGGTTTTAAAACCCACAATTTTTCCAAAGAAAAAAAATGCTGTTTAAGAAAGGGCGAGAGAGAGAAGGTTTCATTAGGTGGATTGTGTAGAGCTAGCTATTGTCTATTGGTGCGTCAAAACCATTGGACAATAAAACAAGACTGAGCTAGGGAAATGGAGTTTGTTGAACTTTAATGTACGACTTGGGATCGGTTATGATTGAACAAGTTCGACCGTTGAGTTTGGATTATTACAAAGATTGGTTTGGTAGATTCTGTCATTGGGCCTCACTAATTGGGTCTAGAGAAATATTAGAGCCAGGTGCCAAGGTTCTTGGAAGCACAAGGGGATGGCCATTGCTTTTTAATGCAAAGCTTAGAGTAGAGATTAATAGTGCTTTTCAATCAGGGGAGATGGTGAGGCCTAATATTGATGTTAGACTAATTTCTTGGTCCTTCCCCTCTGCATGAGGTTTCAAACTCGATACGGATGGCTGTTCAATAGAAAACCCGGAATTAGCCAGGATGGGAGTGCTTATCAAGGATGATCAAGGCCATTGGATTGCGAGTTTTTATGCGAAACTTAGCATTACCTCCAACATTAAAGCAGAATTGTGGGCATTATTCAAAGTCTTGGAACTACTGAAGAATCATGGTTTACATGGAGCGGTGGTGGAATCAGATTCCTACGAAGCTTGTTCATTGTTGAAGTACCAGCAAGGGGACATCCATTCTTCTAGGGTGTTTATTGAGAACTATAATGCTCCGTTCGGTACGATGAAAAAATAGAAGAATAGAAAGTTGGACGAATGGATAAAACATCATGCTTGGGAATGATAGAAAAGTGCATGAATTAACTTTACTTTTAACTCACCAAAATCAATATTTCCAAAATCAGAAAGAAAGTAGATGAAAAGTTAATTATTTGTGTTGAGATGTATCTTATTTGTCTATATATATTATATATACATTAATTTCATATAAAAATATAATGATGAAATATGTATTTATATATATATATATATTTTAAAAAGTTTAAAAATTAAAAATTAAAAAGTAAAAATAAAAAAATTAAATTAAAAAAAAATTTCATCTTAACTAAGGGTAAAAATTTTCGACTCACGACTCGACACGATGATACGACTCGAATTCGACACAAATTTTATGACACGAACTTGATTATAACTCGATACGAATTAAAAAATGACTTGACATGCGAACAAAAAATATAAAAGACTCATAATTTTATAACTCAACATGAATCTGACACGATATTACTGGATTGTCCACCCTAACCTTAGCCATCACACAAAAAAAATTAAAAAAAATTAATTATTTTTATTTTTCATCTATCTAACCAAATACAAAAGAAGGAAAATATATCATTCATATTTTTTATTTTTTAAAAAAATAAAATGTATCTTTCTTACTTTTTATCCTTTATGCCAAACCGAGCATAAGACATTCATGAGACACGAGCAGTTCAGTGAGTCATGTTCCACGAGAAGGGAACCATAGTGCTGATGTCCTTGGGAACATGGGAGAAAGACAGCAAGTCAGCTTTGTTCTATTGGATAGTTCCCCTGTGAAAATGTGGACAGTGTTTGAGACCGATATGGCCGACATTACTTTCGTTAGAGAGCTGTAGAGGCTCCTTTTATCTTTACATTAAAAAAAAAAAAAAACAAAAAATCAAATCAAATCAAACCGTAGTATAGTCAAGCGCGAGATGCTCGATTTCGTTTAATAACTTGCAAGTCATATTATATTATAACCTGATCATCTTAAGCACGCACAAACTTATCTAAGCTTAACTCAATTCATTATACCGACTCATGACAAAAGGAAAATTATAGTTTAACCCCTTTAAGTTTGATTTTGATCTTATTTTGTCCTCTCAACTAAATTACAGTAGTTGTATATTGTCCCAAAAACCAAATATTCACCATGTTTTGAATACAGAATGTCTACGTAGAACTAATATATACATTTTTAATGTCTTAACGTGATAATTGAGAGGACAAAGTGAGATAGAGGCATAGTTGAGGGGTTAAAGTCTAGTTTGCACAAACTAAAAAATATTAGGCCGTTTAATCTATAATATAAAACAGAACAAATTTTAATAAGTCCATTCAATAGTTTCAAATAGACTTATTTAACGATCGCTAACATTCCTTTCAAATTTTTTTACATTTTATCGTGCCTAAAAATACGGGTTATTTCTAATATTTTATTCAATTAGGCGAATTTCACCTAATACCCTAAAAGATTAAGAATTCTTATTTTATACCTTCAAAGATAAGTTTTTGTATATTAAAAATATTATAATATGGTTATTTTGTTAGTTTCTATTACTCATTCTACCAACGTTAGTGGGGTGAATTTTGACGGAATAAACAACAAAAGGTAATGAAATGGTTACATGACAAAACTTTTCATACGTTAAGGGTATAATATGAGAAATCTCATACTTGAAGATACAAAGTGAAAAAGTTTATATCTTCGGGGGTATAAAGTGAGATTTTTCCTATTCAAATTATATAATCCACATGAGGGGATGTCGTATATAACCCTAGTGAAGATGAGGTCACGAGCTCCAACCTGCATAGAAATGGCTATGTAATATTGTACTGGGCTAGGGTTTAAGATTGTCAAGGGTTTTGCGTGGTTTCCACCAAATGGCAATTAAAAAATCAAAACCCTAGCTCCACGATTTTCTCTGTCTCAGGTTTCATACTCTCAAATGGAAGACCTGGATGATGATTTCGGCGATTTGTACGCCGACGTCGAGGTCCGAGCTACTTCGGCCATCCATTCGATTCCAAACATCACAAATTTACACATAGAAAAGAGCGAAATTAACCCCACTAACGATGACAATGGAGAGAAAGTTTTCAATCAGGAATCAAAAGGAGTTGATTTGATCGGGGATGATATGAATGTGGTGACGACGATTGCGAATTCGGAGGCAAATGCAGTCGAGGAATTTACCGATAATAATGGGAGCGACAGTGAGGATGAATTGAATATAGTGTTGAATGTTGATGATGAAGGTGGTGGTGATGCTGAGCCAGGGTTTGTGGGGATGCGGAATGATGTGAGATTGAGTAACGGAGGGTTTAAGGAAGAAGGGGAGGAAGAGGGACATGGTGGCTCTGGAATAGGTGTAGAAGGGAGTGGTTTGGGGAAGCATCGAAAATGGAGTGATCAGTCGCTGGTTGGTGATGGATTAGAGAAAGGTTGGAATGATATCGAGAGAGAGAATGGAGGTAAAGGCGGTTATCATTTGCAGTACTCACAATACAAGGTATATAGTTGAATGATAGTGCGCAATATGTTTCTGAAAGTGAATAAGGGTTTGTTGATGTAAAATTTGTATTTTTTAGTGGGAAGCAGTTATGTGAGGTCAGGAATGGTTCGAATCTGCTAGATACCCCGTGCAATCAAAAGAGGCCTGAATTGATTCTTTGCATCATAGAACTATGTTATTGTCATTTGTGTTCGTTTTAGAAGCTCAATGTTTATTAGGCTTTAAACTGATGTAGTGGTGGGTATGGGAATCCTCTCTGTATATTTCAGTAAAGCTAATAAATGTTAAGAGGTTGCAAATATTTTCTGTGGAATTTGAACAATTTATTTAACTTCACAATATGTGTCTACTGTCTATTGTGATGGAGCCTTTAATTTTAAAAACCCTAAAGTGTGCTACATTATTACTTGCTTTTCCAACAAGTTACTACTAATAAAGAGATTGAAATTGTTGCAAAACATTTGCTTGCTCAACTCCAAAGTTAGCCTTGTTTGATTTCTCATGGACTGATTTATTTGAGATGATAGAATTGTAGCATAGAACATGATGATGAATTAGTTATTTCTCCACATGTGGGGGTAAGTGGGTACATCTGACCCCCTACCCCACAGCTGCGGGAGCCTTCCTCCCTTTATTTAGTAATTATGTTATCTTAATTGAGCTAGGATTTTGATGTTGTTGCGGCTTGTGTGTGATTAGTTTCTGAACACTCTTGTGCAGTACAAGAGACCTCAACCAGCAGCATTTCCAAATAATTCAAAAGGTAGTGAAGCTGCGGGAGTAGCTTCATACTCTTCCACATTTTGTAGAGGTGAATGGGATGATAATGGGTGCAATCAACGCATGGCCTCAAACTTTGTAGCAGCTCAAAGCGGACACAAGAATTTCTCACTTCCTCGGTGCAGGTAAATATATTTGGTTTCACTCTTTTTTGTGCACAAACTAGGTTGGTTTTGAGGTGTATTTGCATTATATGACATGATTTTATTCTGCACATAGCAACAGATAATGACTATCAATCAGCCATTTAAGATGCTCCGCAAGAGACATGTGAGCTCTATTGTTGTTATGAAGTCCATCTTTGGCATTGTTTTAAGAATATTTGCTGAAGGGTCACTTTTTTAAAATATGCTTTTGAGCTTCTTTTATGTCCTTGCACTTTTATTTTTATGTTCTTGATCAAAGGTATCCATTTTCTATTTCTTACAGGACTATACTTGATGTTAATATTGATGCATTAGAGCGGAAGCCTTGGAGACATCCTGGTGTGGATATAACAGATTTTTTCAATTTTGGTTTTGATGAAGATAGTTGGAAACATTATTGCAACCGCCTGGTAAATATAATTACTGGCATTTATGTTTCCAAAACTATTTACCTTTCGGTAAATTTCCCAAGCCTGTCCAATGGATCCCTCATAGTCTACGTGCTGTGGGGGTTATATTTTCCACTTTTCCTCATGCAGTGTGATATTATTCGTGTTAACCTCTATGGACAGAAACCTAATCTTGAGATCGTGTGACAGGATCAACATCGACAAGACACAAATAGGCCAAAAAGGATTCATCCCACTGAATATTCCCAACCTAATAAGGTGAATATAACTGGAACTACAGTAGAATATTTTTCTTGTTCAAGCTATAAATAGTTGAAAATCTATTTTTTTCATAAGATATGAATATAAAGCTGCATTTGAGCATGGAAAAATTGCTCAGAAGGCTGTATCTGTGAAATTTGAGGAAGGATAGAATAGTTTCTCATCCTTCAAGAGTTTCTTGTAGAAAAGAGATGCAATTCGAAATGGTATGCCTTAAGCAGTGTGTTTTTGTCCAACATGTATAATATATAAGTTAGAACTTAAGATTCACAAGTAAAAAACTAGAAATAGGTAGTTGGGAGTGGTAATATTGTAATCTTGTGGTGAATGTTTCAGCCAAAGGGTAGAGCTATTCAAGTAGAAGAACGCAGCAGTGAGCGACAATCATCCATGGATGTAATGCGTTCCCTTGATCGGGACTCAGATGTCGTCATTCAGGTGTGCTATTGCTTTGTTTTTTATTATAGCTTTTGTGTCATTTATTTCTCCTGTTTTACTGCTTATGACCTGGTTTGGAGCAGATTAGAGTGCAGGATACGAAGGAGGACTCCTCTGGTTTAGCCAGGGAGGGATTAGGATGTGTAAATAAATCCGAACATCAAGCATCGGAAACTGGAGATTTTGATGTGGATGAAGAAGGAGATATTCTGTGCGTTAATAGTGCCAGTGAAGATGAAGGCCCTGGAGAATATCTTGAAGGGAATGGTGAAGGTTTGAGTACATCAGTTCCTAAAAGGTACGATCCACATGCTCTATAGTCCAGTATTGTCTTAATTCTTATTTTTTGATATTTGGCAGGGTCATACCCTGGAGTATAGGTTTCGTTATGTTGAGACTTAAGGGTGCTTCACAGTGTATGGCTAATTGGGACAAGGCTCTGTCTGGTTTGGTTATATTCATTGTCTGTGTTTGTTAGACAGTGGAAGCACCTTGGTAATAGTTGTTCATAATGTTGTCACATGAATATGCTATGAATGCATCTACCTCTTGCAGATGTAAATACTTCCAAATTTATTGGGAGTGACATCACATATCATGTAAAGTGTTGGCAGCTGAGTTCAGTGCGTCACGACAATTGACAACTTCATATATTACATCTATCAATGAAGTAATTTTAATTTTGCGCTGCTGCATTGCTGTAATGCTACTGATGTTTTTGCCGTTGATTTATAGCCTTCCAGATTTGACATGCATGCTAGTGGCTCATCAGAACTTGGATGTCTTTGAATAATTTAATACAGCACACTTGAGCTTTTGATAGAAAGGCTCAATGGTTGTTCATATTTATAAGGCATCATATGTAGTTACTGTCTTCTTCAACAAATTTGTGCCAATGGGTAGTTATACTTGATCTATATCTTGACCAAAAGCTGTACGGGCACTGTTTGATCATGCTTCTTTGCATATTAACAAATAGATTTGGTGTTTGTCTTTTTTTCTGAAGTCAATCCAGGAAGTCTGCATCTGCTGTATATGGTCATGGATTAGGGTATGGGCTAGGTTTTGGTGTGCATCATTACTCATTAATGTTTTGCTTATCAAAAAGATTATAATACTTGCAGTATCCCTTAAATGATGTTTAAAATTAGAAGTTCCTTTTGAAGATTTGGGGTGGGCTATGGTTCATGTGTATTTGACTGATTTTATAGAATTTTCTCTTTGGTCCTCTCATAGTTTCAATACTTGTCTTCTGTGCCAAGCCAAAGTGGTTTGGTTGAATACCAATACCAGCTTAATGACCTTTTCTCTTTTTTGTGGTTAGTGTCCTGTTTCGGAATGTGAATAAATTGAACAAGACAATTTGAGTAACTAACTTTATTCCCGCATTTTGTTTTACATTTTATTCGTTGCCACTAAATATATAGTCTTTTGATGTGTTTAGGGGTCCCCAACAAGCAAGGCCATCTAACTCTATGTGCAAGGATTCAGATAATCATGAACGTGTTCAGATCTCTGATGATGGGCATAGCCATCTGGAGGTGGTCATATGCGAATCAGAAGCAACTGCTGAAACAATGGAAACTTCAAATAACACAAACAAAAGGGTGGGCAGGAAAAAATGCAATACTGTTCCATCTATTGCAGGAACACAATTTTCTAATGGTGAACATAGTCCACATAGCCCCAGTTCTTCTTGTTCTGGCAGTCATAGCGAATCATTCAGAAGTGGTACTTTTATTGACCCAGGAAAAGCTCATAATCATGTTAGAAGGCAATTATCAAATTCGGTCTCTGAGATACAGGAGTCCGTTGCATCCGACTACTATCAGTCAAAAGACTCAAAAAGCCACGGTCTCAAAGCAGAAGCTGGTAATTGTAGATATAGTACAAGAAATAGGAGGTCCATTCAAGAGAATGTGAGGCATCACAGTAGGAGATTCCATGGTCTGTCTGGATGGAAGAACCACCCTGATGACGATGCCTCGCCATTTTCTGAGACTGAAGGATGGGTTGATGATAGCAGGCAGAAAAAAAGGCTACATCGTTTTGATTCTTTTGATGGGAAAGATATCTCATCTTGTAAGGAATCAGAACTATCCTTCAGTTATTGTGGTGAACAGTTTTCTGACTATCAGGCTGGGGCTGTTTACACAAGAAATCCTCTCTGGAAAGGCCATCAGCGCTTTGGATATGAGGCAGATCGAGATCCCAGTAGAAATTTCGATAGAGGTGAATATCTTTTTGAACAAAGAATATCGAGGGAGGATGATGAAATGTTGAAAAGGGATTCGTATCATCATGAAAGGGGACTGCCTGTTGAGGACATGGACCCTCCCTCTTGCAAGTCTAGATGGTGGAGTCCAAAGAATGCCTTCCACTTGAAGAATGAAAGAGGTACTCGATGGCAAAGGAAAGGAGATGAACCACAGTTTAGAAAGACAATGAGAAATGATGATTTTATTCTTGATTGTGAATACAACGATGATTTCATGCAAGAAGAATATATAGGATCAGTTCCGTATACTCACAGGGAAAGAGATTATTCAGAGCATAAGTATGAAAGATGTTTACCACATACCAGAAGGGAAGTTGAAAGCCCTAAAAGAAGTAGGAGGAGATATGACAACTCTTCTATCGGGTTGGATAATTTATGGTCTATGAGTGAGGAGGATGAATACTGGAGATGCACGGATCATCGATCTTTGGCCTCTTGTTCTTATGAAGAAGCTCATATTGCCAATGGCAAAACGTGGCATGATACCCTGTCTCCAAGAAATGATGTGTATGAAAGAGATGGGATACATGGGAGAGATAGGAGAGAAGGTAGTGACAGTAGTTGGTTTGGTAGTTATGCTGATGCTTTTGACATTGAAGAAAGTTTCAATAATCCTGATAATCAGGTTCATCTTCGAAGAAGTGGACACTATTGGCATTCTGAAGTAAGACATTGGGCTGAAGATGAATACATCTCCAGGCATCGGAACGGTAAATTCGGTCCTGAAGGGGTATCGTTTTCTTTCAAAAGGATTTCAACCCATGAACACCTTGACGCTAAACACGGCTCTGATCATGCCAGGAAATTAATAGATAACAGACGAGTGGAGCGGGCTAGATATCAACCAATAAGGGAAGGAAATAGTGGTATTCGATTTGGTAGACGTTCTAATATTATTGGAAGAGGAAATCATGAGAAGACACTCCTGAGGTTCGGGGTTTCAATTGACTCACACTTGGTTGTTAGGGAAGAAAAGGTAAAATTGGGGAAACCGAGGTCAAGACCTTGTATCACTGTGAATGTATTCAGGAGTGCTCCACATATGTTGGGCGAGTTTCTTTGCTTTTGTTATTGGCATCTCATTGCATGTTTCTTCTAGGGCTTTTTAAATATCCTATTGGCTATTCAAAAGTTTCATACAAGTAATCTTGTGAAGTTTTCCATTGTACATTGTCTTTTGAGTGTTTGAGTTTCAACAATGGCCTTACAGGCCAGGAGGGACTGCATCACAGACTCACCGCCATAAGCATGCAGAGAGTATTATTTAATAATAAAATAGTAGTAATTATAGTAATAATACTAATATTTTCCCTTCTTTATGTTAGTTAATGTATTGTTTTCAGTTGGATATTGTATGACATTTTATTCTGCAACTATATTTAATTACTGAATTTCTGGCCATGGGATGACAATTCTTCTGCCCACTCCGCAGCTGTCTGATGAATTAAACTTCATTGCGCTCGGGTTAGGCATGCCCTTTGTTATTCCCATGAAATGGATTTTAAGTTTTCATATATTCCTTGTCATTGTTGTGGCTTATTTCATTCGCCATGTACATGTAGCCCTGTGTTTCCGATGATTATTATTTTCTTTCCTATATAATAGAAATTTCTTTTTATAATGTTTCTTGATACTTTTACCTCTTGGTCTTTGCTTTTTGTCTTTGTAGGATTTTTATGTTTGGCGGCATTGGGTTTGGACTACTTGTTCACCTTTTGCTCTTTTATTATTAGTCTTTTTTATTGTTCATAAAATCATTTGTTTTCTATCAAAAAAATACATGCACCTGTTTGTCTAGTTTATTTCATTAACATATTTGTTTAGATGCCAAAAGACGCCATGTTACGTATTTTTTTATGCTTAAATGCTATTTAGTACTCTCTTACTTGAAGTCATATTTCTTGTCATCCATGCTTCATCTGTATATCTATGTCTACCATGCTCTCTGCTCTTTGGAGTTTTGGCTACCTTTAAATTAGGGTACGATCTTACTACCTTCATGAATGCAGCACGAAATGTTAGTATATAGGTAGCTACATATATGGTGCATGAGGACAATACTTCTGAGTCATTGTCGAAACAAATATGAAATTGACAGCTGTTTGATTAATTTCTAACAAATACTTTTGTTTCGTCCTTCTTTTGTGTTCTCTTTGAATATTCTTGGATCTAACCTTGCGGCAGTGAAGATGCTCTATGTTGTACTTGATAGTTTGTCAATATCCTTGTGATTGTATGTTTTTCTTCTGATTGAAAGCTTTTCATATCACCCAACATGAAGATGTGTCTTCTTCTGTTCTTTTTTTTTTCCCCATGTTTTCTATTTTTTTGGTGATCTGAGAAGGAAGATGCTGCGTTTAGACAAGCAATATCAGAAGTTTTTCATGAGAATTTTTGTCATAGGAGTTATGTGTTTTTTAACAAGGACAATCAATATTTATCCTAACTATTTTCCTTTTATATGCATTTTGGATGCCTCTTTCTTTGAAGTAGGCCAGTTACTCACCTTTCATTCATCACATGTTGTGGATATTTTGCATATTGACATTACCATGAACAATCAAAATAACACAAGCACCATCAACATTATCTGTGCTTTCTACAACCAAAATAGCACAATTAACTGGTAATTTTTGAAAGTTGATAAATGATCTAGAAACCTGGTAACACATATGCTCTCATGTTGGTAGAATTAAGAAAGCTATGTAATAGGTTTATAGAAAGATGTTTGAATGGTTTACACTCAACTCCGCAAAACCTTGTCCCAACTAGTGAGAGTCAGCTAATGTAATGTGGTTTATAGAAAGATGGATTGATCCTTAACTTCACTGGTTTGTGGAAAGACTCCTGGATTTTTTTGGTAGAATATAAATGGAAATTTTTAGGCCTTTTTTACCTGAACGTAGGCTTCTAGACCTTTAGGTCGTATTGTCATTGAGGATTGCTGAAATCACAGGGTGGTGCTTCCTATTATTTACCTGGAAATTATTATCTTTTCCTGTGTTGCATACAACAAATCTTTTTGTTTTTTTTTTCTGTGAAACAATTTTTTGGTTTAGTATTGGCTAAACATTTTTAATGCGATTGGTCAATTTCATCTGATTTCAGTTTTTTTCTTTGCTACCAAAATTTTGGATCTCAACGTGATACCATTCACCAAATGTGCAAAACAAAACAAAAATTATCTTGTTCAGTACGGTTTTATTTCAAATATAGATGGCCGTGATACATGGAATGGAACTTCTGTATCTAAGCAGTATGTGGCTTACTTCCAAATTTGGTTTTTTGGGATACAGATTTCCTAGATTGAATCAGAGTATGATGTGCTAGTTTTAGATGCAATGTGGATTTCTTTTTATTTAATCAGAGACAATATTTTAGATATTGTAGATTGGAATGCACTGATTTTCTACGCTTGTGGAAGCCTATTATGATGTGAATTGACCATGTAATTGTTCTTCACCTTGTGAATGAATGACAAGTAAACCTCAATCCTCAATCCTCACAAATGTTATTTCCACTTATTTCTCTTCGGGTTGATGTCCCTTTTTATTGAACTGCTTTCATTTTGTTCGTGTAGTAAGTCAGCGGTAGGATTCTTTGTTGCTTGTGGAATAACTGCTATTTTCTTTACCCATTTTTGGCATCTATGGACTTCTTCATTTCTTCATGTGCTATAAAATTGTGGTATGCCATTAGGAATTTTTGTGTTTTGCATTTTCGGAATTTCTGATTAGCTCTCTGCATGATGAGGTTCAAAGCTCTGTTTCCCTCCAACATCATAGTTTGTTTTCCAGGTTATCTTTGGTGGATGAAACATAGGTTTACCATTTAATTTGGCAGGACTGACTATATGTATATGAATGACGACAATACTAGAAAGCTTTGTAGTTACCTTTGGTCTTACAAAATGGTGGGTTTTAAGTGTTAAACTGAGTGCATTTGGGAGATGATTGGGTTGAAACATCGTAGAATAGGATATGACATTGCAGGGAGGGTTAGATGATTTTCGTTCTTTGTGAGTGGGTAGTGATGGAACTCATGGAGTTGTGAGAGAGATTCTATTCCCTCGGCTTGCACCCCCTGTGCAGGGAGTGGAAGTTTTTTTTTTTGGGGAGGAGGGGGGGGGAAATGTCATCTTGGCCTACGGACTGGCCCTCCTCGTACATTGCTGGCTTTGAATGTCAATTGGAAAGTCACAGGTCAGGGATTTGAGTTGATTACTAGTCATCACATGAAGTGCAATTAATGGAATTGTTTGAACATAAAGATTGAAGAACTATTTTTGTCGTGTTTGAGCTTGACTATAGAGGTGGTCATCGGTTATTTGTGGTCTCAGCTTCCTGTTTATTGTTTGTCAGCTCAGGGATTGGATGGAGATAAACCAGTTTTATTCTGGTAGAATTATCCATCTCATCCAAAGGAAGTGTTGTTCCTGCATCAGTAATTGGACTTGTGATTATCCATAGGATGGTATAGGAAAACTTGTGATTATCTTGGTGATTATTTATCTTGGCGATGGGCCCAATACTCATCTTTCTAACTTTGGCCTTTGATAAGATGTCTAGAGGGAAGGCAATTTGACTTGGCCTTCGATATGATCTAAAGGTTAAGCAATTTGACATCTCATGTTTGAACTTCACAATCGTAACTTGGTTATGCCTACGTGGCCATTGTGTGGCCGAGTGTTGGTCCAGGTATCATTTTGTGCTACTTGATCAAATGAATGCAAGGATGCAATGAAGCATCAGTTGCTTTCCTTTATATTTACAGTTGGTTCATGGGATAGTGATCATCTTATTAGTACTCTTATTTTTTTTTTCCCTCTTTACATGAAGTAAATTTAGGTACTTGCAAGTACCAAGATCACGGAACTCTAGATGTTAATATTTTTAATTCTGGGTATTATATGTTTCTCTATGTCATACATTCTGTATTTTGGATAACCTGCTTGGTCGAAGATAATTCGAGTTTCATCTTACTTATTTTTGAATGGTTGACTAATCCTTTTTGTCTTCAGGTTTTGTTAATACTGGGTTCTAATACATTCTTTTAAACGGCATTTTTGGTTGTGTATTTATAATTCTTTGCCAAATGCTTGCAGTAACAGCTTTTTCATCTTGCTTAAGCAAATCCATTTCTTTTCAGTAAGCTTAAATGTCTTTCTTAGACTGTAGAACACTCAATTGTGTGACATTTTCCCATGGCAATACACCCTGCAGTCCTCTGGAAGATGCTTCAAAGCTGGAAGTGTAATGTACAATGATAGACATGAAAACATGGACCGGATTATTGATGTCAAGCAGAAAACTTGCAAGGGTTTCAACGAATCTCATGTGGAGAAGTTAGCCCAATTGGACAACTCCAAAGTTGAAACCAACCAGAATGGCAACGAATGGCTTGACAAGTTCCCTGTAACGCAGCACACTGAAGCTTTGGATATTGAGGAAGGTCAGATAATAACCGAAGCAATAAATGTGAACCCAGTGAAAAAGATATGTGCATCTGCTGATGTGGGACAAATCAGTGATGTAAAGAAGTTGAATGGTGAAAAAGCAAAAAATGGATATGCGGTTGTTGAGAAAAATAACCCTCGGATTCTTGAGGTGATAGCAAAGATGGAAAAACGAAGAGAACGGTTTAAGGAGCCCATTACTCTAAGAAATGACGCAGACAGGGTTGTCAACCCTCCAGTTGATTCAGTTGTGGAAACAGCTCAGAATAAGCAACAACAAAGGCCAATGCGGAAGAGGAGATGGGGTGGAAGTTAGGTCCCAGAGAATGCAGGTGCATCTCATACCTCAGCCGAAGTGGTAACGGAATTGTGGTTTCAGGTTTGACTCAGAACAGGTTGAAAGGATTAGCACTAGGCTGTCTATTGTGGATAGCAAAACGAGATAAAAAGTGCCGTTCAGATAAATTATTTCTTCTGGATATTGAAGATAGAGTTGAATTTGAACATTTTTTAATTTCTCCTTCTGCTTGGAATAAGGTTAACTGTGCTAGTATATTCTTGGTGAAAGTTTATAAGTTAGTAAGGATTTTATAAATTTCCCTTTACCCACCACAGGTTTTGGCTGGCCACTCTGATCCTTTTATAAATCATAACTTAATAAGTTCTTAGGCTGCCTAATTATTTCAGGAGCAGTTTTTACGGGCTACTGTCATAATCGAGACTGCTAGTTGGGCTTCTGTTGTACCTCATTTTCTAAATTTGTTATAGCACAATTTTCTCTTGCTGTTAGTATTGTCAGGGAACATATAAGCTTGATTGACGCTGTAGCTATTTTAGTCTTATTTTTGTGACAGTGACCTCTTACTAACAGTTGTATCTTGCATCATTATGGTACCTCGAAGACTTAGTTTGATATATGTTGGAACTGAATCTTTGTGGGTTGTTGATCTCCCATTCCCAACACAATAACCACCCACAATAATGTTAGGCATGAAATCTGTTGCTGCTAATGTAATTTTTCATCCATGTTTCTAGTCAGAATGGCAAACGCATACATGCATATTGTCATAGGTAAATCCCACAGTGCTCAAAAGGAGAGGGATGGCTCATCGATGGGGTAATTTATTTACTCAAAACTCTCCTTGAAGTTTACACTGATTATATCCCATGCCTCAAGGTTACCATATATAAACCACATAGGGTGTATGGTGAACTTGTAGTCAAATCATTCTTTGTTAGTTGAGCAGTCGGGTTTTGTAGATGTTATCTGGTGGTTTTCTTGCAATAAAAATGAAAAATCCAGACTTTGCCTTCATTGAACTTCTCTCTTCCACCGCTGGGGTGCGGATTAGGGGTGAAGGGTTGGTGTGGGGAACGAGATGGAAAGAGAAGATGAAGAGTTTACCGATCACCTAAGGTCGTGTATATGGGTTGTACTTGCATAGGAAAGGGTGCCCGGAGCAACACAAACGTGTTTGGCAAGTATGTCAAGATAGTTAGAGAGTGCATAACAGTGGATTATTACGAGTCACCCAATTTGCTGTCATATTTGCCAATGTACATGCAATTTTTATTTTTCCACATAATCATTCGAGCATAAGAACAATAAACTAGCTGACAACCCAACAACAACAGTACTTTGTTTCAAAGCACTAATATAATACATTAAAAACACATAATCAATAAACTGGCAAAGTACATGTTATATCACACAACATTGTTCGGAGTGCACTCATATAATACATCAAAAACATATAATCAGTAAACTGGCAAAGTACATCTTATGTCACGCGACATTGTTCGGAGTGTCTGGAGGTGTGACTGGTTTGACATAAACTCCAATGGAGTTTAGGGCATGCTCAGCAGTGCCATGAAATCCACCGAACCGATGACCCTCACCCTCATCTCCCTCTAGTGTCGGTGTGACTCATACTCTGTTCTCTTGCACATTCACGTACTCACGAAATAGTCATACGAGATAATAATAATAATACATCAATAAAGTCTATTAAGCTTTTGGTACCAAAGATATACTCGTAATACTAACATTACATAGTTTTACACCAACATACAACATCAAAAATAGGAACATCCCAAGCTATTTGAAGATTAATAATACTATGCTGACCAAATTTTAGAATTAAATTTGGAGTCCAAATGACATAACAACATATTATTTAAAATTTTTATCAAACCCGGCCCTCGGCACCAAATACAGAAGGACTAGCACTTTTGTCCTGGAACTTGCCGAGTGTTTTAATTGGCTTGAGGTAGACCCCAATGGAGCCTAGTCGGTCACGGTTGTCGATAGTAGTACCATGAAATCCACCGAATTGCCGTTCCGGTCCCAATTGAATCCGAAACTCTCTGTCTCCTTCGGTAGGGCAACCAAACGGCCCGCGCTTTGTTCGATTGGTACCAAATGTTAGTGAACTTATACCATCGCCAAAAGCGCCAAAAGTTCCAATGACCACACGACAGCTGACCCAGGTAAGATACTCCGATGGATAATCCAACCTTACCTGTTAGTAAATTCAATTGACCAATGTATTAGTTAAGGCCTCTAGTCTAAAACTGCATTCTAATTTTTTTTTTGTTATTTGTTTTTATTTTTTGAGAAAAAAACGATAATCATTCATTGTCCACCACTAGATACATTATTGTGGAGAGGAGATAATAGAAATGACGGTATCTCCTCCTTCTACAACATAAAAGTAGTACAATTAATAGCAAATCTGGCTAAACTATGAACGACTTCATTTCTATTCATGTATATCCAAGCCATTGAAATTTTATTTATTAAGCAAAACAATTGGGACCGGATTTTGAGATTAATTTGAAAACCCGATCCCTTATAGTCGTTTTTAAATTAAGTTCACCATTAATCTGAGTAAATATTGAATACAACGGTGGTACCTTACATACACCAATTTACTTATTTATTTTGATATTATTTGTTGGTGATACCACATCAACGTTGACGTGTGGTATCACCGTTGTAATAAATATTTTATCAATTAATCTAACAATCACAATGCATTACCTTGTTAGATTTTCAAAGCAAATTTCCAGGAAACAGCATTCAAAAAGTTGAAAGAAAATTATATCTGCTCACCACGTCAAATGTGTGTCCAGAACTTTCGCCATATCTCTTAGACAATTCCAAAGTTCCATCCTCAGAATACTGGAATTGTATGGAATTGATTTTATTCGAATCACCATGCGATACAAAGATCTGAACTATCTCACTATGTCCATTCTCATCCCAATCTGTGTGATTGTGAGGCAACTGCTTCCCCAGCCCCACCGGACCAATTTTGATCATCCTAGTGGCATCAATTTTCGGCGTAAATTCATGAACTTAGCAAATGAAAAATCATGCATATTGGTTCTTTAATACCACCATATTCAGAAGGAAACACTACTCACAGCTGCTCACTAGAAATGTATTATGAAAGAGAGGATTCATAGACGACACGAACATATATTTGAACAACAAATTATAAAACTTACAGATCTTTTGCTTCTATTAACCATTACCTGACTATGATTTGCACACTTTCTGAAGTTCTAGAGCTCAGCTTGTTTTTACAGAGGGCAGAGAGAAAGAAGGGCTGGGGGAAGGAACTTATGGGAGAGTGGAGAGAGAAAAGTTGGTAGTCACCAAGATGCTTTTTGGGTTCCTTTTTCTTTGTCGGTGTTTCTTTCTTCCTTTTTTTTTTTTTTCGATCACTGAAGAGGAAATAAATCTTAATAAAAAATATGACTTATAATTAAATTAACGGCAATGATCCATAAACAAGCTGCATGAAAAAACAATAATAAATAAAAACAGCACTAAGTGGGGTCTTCCCCTAAAAGCATTACTTTTTTCTCTTTTAAATTTATTTTTTATGGTCTTTTTAATAAGGAGGACAAAAAATAGGAAATATGAAAAATAGAAATTGTACATTTTCTATCATTCAAAGAAGGAAAATAGAAATGATATACTTTCTTTCTTTTGTGTTTGGTAGGATGTATGAAAAATAAAAATATTTATTTTTTTTAAAAAAAAATATAAAATACATATTTTATAGTTATATTTATATATAAAGTTAATGTAAACATAATATATGTATATATCAAATAACATATATAGACAAATAAGATACATTTCAACATAAAAAATTAATTTTTTATCTATTTTCTTTTCAATTTTGAAAGAATTGATTTTCGTCCACTTTTTCATCTAATTTTGTTATTAGATGGTTCAAAAGAATTGGAAAAAACCCACTGAACTAGACTGTTTTGTAACAAACCTGCGGAATCAGATGGTTTTGGCCAAATTGACCGGATCAATCTAAATGCTATAAAAAAGAGGTTTCAGGGCATTTTTGCCCAAATTTGATCCATTTTAGCCCGCTGCTCACGACCTCACCTCCTCATTGCCTCCGTTTTCGACTCCAACTACTCATGACTGAGTCACAGTCAGTCATCTGTAGATGGTAGATTATATTGAAATTGGGTTGTATTAGAAATTGAATGCATTTAGATTAAATACATGTTTGATGATTTTGAAATTTTTGTTTGATGTAATATACATTTAAGCATGCTATTTTTGAAAATTATTGTAATTTTTTGTCTATTTATTATTACTTACAATTAGTTATTATTTTTTTATTATAGTCAACGGTCCGACTAATGACCTAACGATTAAATCTTTAATCCATTAACTCGACTTCTTTTCCAAATTGAAGTCCGAACCGACTTTTAAAACTATGGCACCCACAAATCTATTACATACGATCAAAAATTGAATAGATGCTAATTGATTAGTAAGTTGTAAGACGATGATACCATAAAAAAAATCATGGCAGACTTCTGTCAAAATCTCACAATTAAAGCTGCGGGCCTAAACCACAAATTGTGAAGATTAGTGGGCCAAGCGGCACTTTCTGGCCCCACTTGATTCACATACGAATCTCTTTTAACAAAGCATTATCAATTGTTAGATTCATGGGTTCCACTATTTTATTTATTTATTGAAATCTACTAATCCAACCATCATTTCAGTTAATAAACGATATTTACTTCCATTCTCTCTCTCTCTCTTTCACTAATTTTTTTAAAAAAATAATACAAAAAGAATTAAAAATAATATTTAAAAGAAGTAGTTAAAAATACAAAAAAATCTATTGGAACGTGTATTAAAAAAATGAGTAGCTAAAATAGAAAATATTTCTTCTTGAATAGCTAATCTATCTTTTATTATTGAAGATCCTCTAACATAACAACCAAACTCAACAAAAATAAAAAATTGAAAAGCTATTGCTTAGTAACCAAGCACCTTTTTTTCACTACTGCACAACGGATGCTTGTGACTGGTTGCTTTTAAAACGATTAAAATTGAAAAGCTATTGCTTATTAACCAAGCACCTTTTTTCATTGCTATACATACAATGGGTGATTGTGACCGGTTGCTTTTAAAACGATTATAAAGAAGGGATAGTATTAATCCCTTCCGATACATTTTCTCTAAAAATCTATCTCTTCTTGACAGATCATCCATTATTAATGAGTCAGTGACTCACTTATATACAATGAGTCTCTTTTGAATGCATGATGAACCATCTGTCAAAAAAGAATCGAGAAAAAAATGTATTAGATGAAATCTCATTAAAAATACCAAGAAAACTGGACTCATAGCTCTATCTCATACATGCGGGCTACAGGGAGAGAGAGCATACGATGAAGTGAGCAACAAAGTTATGCCAGGTTTTATGGCCACTGTTTTATAAACCGAAATTCTTGTGGACTGCCCTCGTCTAGGAAAGACAACCAAGAAAATTAACAACATACTATGATGGATAAACTGCAGGTGCAGAGCTAGGATCTCCCAAAGGGGTCAACTCAGAGGTTGGAAAAAAATAATAAAGTAAAGTAACAGGGGCAGTATTGAAATTATACAAAACTGGAGAAGGCTAACCTAGAACTCCTTTTACAAAAAATAAATAAATAAATAACACAGAGCTTAGAATGCCAAAAATAATTAGAGTCGTGTTATTCCTGAATATCCATCCCATAAAGCGAGGGGCTATCAATATCCTGATCAGTTATTTTGATTTCGACTTATCATTTGAGCCACAAATTTGATCGTTCATTTGGTCCGCTTAGAATTTCTGAAATAATTATAGAAAACTTAGGGGGCCGTGGCCCTTTGTGATATGCTGTGTTTATTGTATGCACAAATTATGGAATTTTTTTTCTATGATGTTTTTATAATTTTTTTTTACATAAAAAAAAATAAGACTACAGTTGAAAGAAAAACATGGTTAAGCATTCATTTAAGGCTGTCGTGATACTATATGGAATTACTAGTAATTGTACGTGTCTGAAGTCATTTTATAACAAAAAAAAATCGCAAGACATTACTAGTGCATGAATGATCAAAAATAAAAAAACCCCAACTGTGCATGAAGTAGAGTGACAACTGAATCATATCATATCATATTGTGTTGCGTTATTTCAAGTTCATGTCAAAAATTCATCAGCCTTAACACAGTCTGCTTAGTTAATCATGTCGAATGATATAATATTAACATAACTCGTTCAAAACTCGAAAATAGCCTACATAACACATTTAAATTAAGAGGTCATGTCCGAGTTGACACTATATGTTACCAACCCATTTAATAGTACATGGATTATGTTTGGGTTGATACAACTCACATAACATGATTACCATATCTGCTGAACTATTTACAACATAAAATCTTACTTTTAACCCAATCCCCAGTCAACATCCATAAAAAGTAAAACACAGACCACAACCATTCTAGCCAATATTTGAAAAAATTAAGAAAATCATATTCCATAGGATTACCCCAAATAACATAACACGACAAATTAATTCATAATCCTAACCGATATATTCTGCTACCATTGGTATCTTTTTCTTCATCGCCAGTCATGTAAATTCTCTAACTCATCATGCTTCGTCCTAGAGTTGTCAAATGCAAATTGTCAAAATTAGAATAAAGAACAAACAAAAAATTGTGATAAGTGCCCAAGGAAGTCAAATGTGATTGAATCTCAAAAATTGTTTAATAAACTACTGAGTGAAGACAAAAAATTTCATTTCATGATACTATGTTTCTCAAAGCCCAAGCAAATTCTTAGCTCAACTGCTTTTGTTATCACCGCTTAAAAAAAGCATTTATCTATAGAATGTCAAACTCAATTTACTTTGAAAAAGAAAAAAAATACATGCAACAAATAGGTTATTCCTGAAATAGAGAGAAAGCAACCAACAAACAATGAATATAAAAACTAAATGACACATAACATGAAGAAAATCTTATACCTTGCACTCGGCCATGGATGGTATACCCTTTGTTGATACTATAAAGACATTTTGAATTGTTGGAATTCCATGATATTGCAGTAGAACCATCAGAACTTATTTTTTCATCCAATGCACTTGGAATCCACAAAATAGAAACTAAATTTACAACATGATGTTAATGTCATTACAGAGGGGATATCAACCAAGATACTGCAATTATGAGCAGTATACTAAAAAAGTCAACTTTCCACTACCCTAAATTATTCCCAAGGACACATAACTATGAACTATACAATTTGTAAGTTTGGGAATTAGGCGTCATAAAGAAATTACTGGTCGAAGATGAGTGTGAAACCATAGGACTCCAATTGCTAAATCCTTCACCAAGTTTGTGGACTATACCTAATGACTATCCAAGCAAAATCAACCCAAAATCCACAAATTTTAAAGAAATACCACAATTTATGGGCATACCTCACATGAATGCATCATTAGATGACAACTTACACAAAAATTCAGGTTCTTGAGTATACTGCAAAAACATAAATGACAGAAAAAAGATGTCAATGAAAATTTTTAAACAAAAAAATTGACATAGGGAATAAATGTATTCACAAATCTTTCTCAGAAAACTCATAATCTCAAAAAGAACCACCCCTCAAATTCAACATTACAGGGCCTTGACCCTAGGCCAATCTCAAATTAAACAAATGCATCAAAGCAAACACATTTTACCTAATCAAGGCTAAGCCAATCTACTCAATAAAACATTCAGTGCATGCAATCTCAATCGTACAAATTTGTTACATCCACCAATGTGAAGAAATAGTAGCCTACAACAATAGAAACCCATATTTTAACAACCAAATTCACAAAAAACATCACAAAGAGAAAAAATTAAAGAAAGGGCTATTAGAATTGTGATACTTGAAGTAACCCTTAGGGTCATCATCTGCCATGACCATATTGCCTGCACTTGGATCTCTGATAGATCTCCATGAGAAAAGCTGCTTTAAATCAAACAAGGATTAATTAAACATAAAATTTGGTAGCCTAATCAATTTCACTAATACCCTAGACCCAATTTCATAATACCAGACAACAAATCAACATACCTATCCCATGGTTAGAGCTCGAAGCTTATTAGGGAAGTAAGGGTTTAGGTTCTTGAAATCCTTTTTAATAAGTCTCATTGAAAGCCTTACGGTAGAAATTTAGAAAGGCCAAAAAAATAAGGATGGTGTGTGTAAAATCAGGTGGGTGGGTGTGGCTGTGGGGAAGTTCCGACAATAACAACGAGAGAGAGAAGATGCAGCGAGAGAAAGGGCAGCGGCTGGAAATGTGATTGTGTGCGCAGAGAATTGTGGTGCACAGAAGTTAGGGGCATTTGGTTACCTCTTTGGCATTTGGTCGAACACCTCCCGAGTGTTATGTTGAAGACCTTCGATATAGAAGCAAGAGAGAGAGAGAGAGAGAGAGAGAGAGAGAGAGAGAGAGATAAGCAGTGTGTACCTGTGTGGGATAATGCTTGTGGATGAGCAACGAAGAGAAAGAAGCAGCAAAGGAGAGAGGGCTACGGACATTAACAAATGCTCACAAAAACACGAACACACATAAAAAAAATCAATAACACACTCACACAAAAATCGAGAACACAAGCACAGTAAAAGAGAGAGAGATAAAGAAAAATGGCAATGATTAAGAGAGATAAGACAAACATGTGTTGGTTTGTTTCAAGCATTCACTAGTGGGGGAGCGGTGTTGGTTTGTGTTAATAGTGTGTGTGTGTGTGAGAGAGAGAGAGAGAGAAAAGACGTGTGTTGATGGCTCCTAATAAAATCCAAATCGGTGTCGATTTGTGCTAACAGTGCATGTGTGTGAGAAAGAGAGAGAGAGGGGCGTACTTGAGCAATGCAGCGAGAAAGAACGAACAACGAAGTATTGGGGAAGATATCATTTTTGTTGGAACAAAGAGAAGAAATAGGTAAAGATCGCCTGATAAGGCTCAAAGATCACATAGAGATTATGATAAGGAAAGAAGATAAAAAATCCACGGATTTGAAGAGAGAGAGAGAGAGAGAGGCAGAATTGAGGAAATTATCAGCTGATAAGGAAAGATGATCGTATTGGAGAGAGATAGAGTTGGGGAATTAAATTTAGGGATGTGAGTGTGTGGACAATGAGTTTGTGTGTGAGTGAGAGAAAGAAGAGAAGAGGTAGGGGTGGTGTTGTGTAGAAAAGGGTAGAGAAGAGGTGGGGGTAGGATGGGGGTCAGTGTGTGTGAGAGAGAGATGAGGCATACTTGGGAGGGGTTAGTAGCAGTAGTGGTGTTGCTGATGAAGTAACAGTGGTGGTGGTGTTGCTGGCGGGTAACAAGAGAGAGAGAGAGAGATAAAGAGAGAGACAATAAGTAGTAACAAAGGGGGAGAAAAAAAAAAGAAACAAAAGGATGACTTGTCTCACAGAAGGGCGAAAAAAAAAGAGATGAAGAAAGGTGGCAGAAGGATGGCTGTCTGACAGGTGAGGTGACTGAAGATGTCAAATTTTTGAAAAAAAATTGTGGGTGAAAAATGATGAATTTGGGGGGAAATGAGAGGGATAATAGTGACCATTAAATTGATTTAAGACTGTTGAATTTTTTTGTTGAAATCGCTTTGTTTTATGTTATAAATACATCCAAATTTGATCATCATACTCGCAATTTGGCATAGCGGCCCCAGACTACTTCAATTGAGCTTGAAATTCAAAAAAAAATATGCACAAATTATAGGTTTAAGACCTTGGTTGAACTGACGTTTTTAAGCTAAATACGTCATTTAAATTTAAGGGTGTTCAAAATTTTGATTACCTGCATATTACGTTCCTACCCGACTATATTAATCGGCTATCGACAAAAATCAGCTACCAAAATCTTAAACTCAGCAAAACTACTGGCCCTTTATTGGATGATCATACCATCTATCGTCGGCTCATTAGTAGATTGTTGTACCTCACTATAACTAGACCAGACAACAGTTACACCGTTCAGCTTTTAAGTCCATTCATGGACAAGCCCACCACTGCTCATCTTGCAGCGGCGCACAAAGTTTTGAGGTATCTCAAGCAAGCCCCAATGGAGTTTAGGGCAACATTGTTAGGGGTGTCCGGAGGTGTCTGGTTTGAAATAAACTCCAATGGAGTTTAGTGCATGCTCAACAGTGCCATGAAATCCACCAAATCCATGACCGTCATCTCCCTCCGGTGTGTGTGACTCATCATACTCTGTTCTCTTACAAGGAAACTCTCACCAACACATTCACATACTTATGAAATAGTCATACGGGATAATAATAATAATAATACATCGATAAAGTCTATTAAATTTTTGGTACCAATGATATACCCGTAATACCAACATTACCAAGTTTTACACCAGCATCGAAAATAGGAACATCCCAAGCTATATGTAGATTGTCGTAGCTTTTTTGTCCTGGAACGTGCCAAGTATTGTAATTGGTTTGACGTATACCCCAATGGAGGCTAGTTGTTTACCGGAGTCGATAGTACCATGAAATCCACCGAATTGCCGGTCCAGGTCCAGTCCAAAGTGTATCCGAAACTCTATGTCTTCCTCTCTAGGGCAACCAAACGGTCCGTGCGTTGCTCGATTGGTACCAAATGCTAGTGAACTTATACCTCCTCGATAAACGGCTTTATGACCGCTGACCCAGGTAAGATACTCCGATGGATAATCCAACCTTACCTGTTAGTAAATTCAATTGACCAATGTATTAGTTAAGGCCTCTAGTCTAAAACTGCATTCTAATTTTTTTTTTGTTATTTGTTTTTATTTTTTGAGAAAAAAACGATAATCATTCATTGTCCACCACTAGATACATTATTGTGGAGAGGAGATAATAGAAATGACGGTATCTCCTCCTTCTACAACATAAAAGTAGTACAATTAATAGCAAATCTGGCTAAACTATGAACAACTTCATTTCTATTCATGTATATCCAAGCCATTGAAATTTTATTTATTAAGCAAAGCAATTGGGACCGGATTTTGAGATTAATTTGAAAACCCGATCCCTTATAACCACTAATGAAGGTCGCTATTAAATTAAGTTCACAATTAATCTAAGTAAATATTGAATACAACAGTGATAATATATTAGTATTGTTGACATAGTATTATCAACCAATAATAAAATATTAAGTGTGTAAGGTGAACTCACTTGGATATTTATTTAGTTATATGGAAGAAGAGTGAGTAATTATTTACTTCTATAGACCCATTTGCTTAGTTGTTTTAATATTATTGATTGGTAATATTACGTCAACATTAACATGTGGAAAGGGTGTCAATTTTTGACTCGAACATGAACCCAACTCCAACCGAACCTGACACGAACCCGAAAAAAACACGATTCGTTGACACGAGGAATAAATGGGTCAAATTAAAATTCAACACGAATAACACGATTAATGGGTACTGTAGATAGAAAATAATTATTTAATGAGTATTTTAAATAGAAAATAAGAATTTTAAATAGTATTATATTAGTTGTTGTCAAATAAAATAAATTTTTATTAACACGAATATTAACACGAACCCGACACGTACCAAAAATGATACGACACGAATACGGCATGTGGTATGACTGAATATTTTCTCAATTAATCTAACGATTACGATGCATTACCTTAATAGATTTTAAAAGCAAATTTGCAGGAAACAACATTGAAAAAGTTGAAAGAAAATTATACATACTCACCACATCAAATGAGAGTCTAGAACTTTTGCCATATGTGTTAGACAATACCAAAGTTCCATTCTCAGCATACTGGAATTGTATGGAATTGATTCGCCCCCTATCACCATGCGATACAAAGATCTGAACTATCTCACAACGTCCACTCTCATCCCAAGCTGTGTCATAAAAGTCCATCCCGCCCACCGGACCAAATTTGATCATCCTAGTGGCATCAATTTTCGGCGTAAATTCATGAACTTAGTAAATGAAAAATCATGCATATTGATTCTTTAATACCGCCATATTCAGAAGAAAACACTACTCACAGCAGCTCACTAGGAATGTGTATATATATATATATATATATATATATTATGAAAGAGAGGATTCATAGACGACACAAGCATATATTTGAACAACAAATTATAAAACTTACTGATCTTTTGCTTCTATTAACCATAACTGACTACGATTTGCACACTTTCTGAAGTTCTAGAGCTCAGCTTGTTTTTACATAGGAGAGAGAGAGAAAGAGGGGCTGGGGGAAGGAACTTATGGGAGAGTGGAGAGAGAAAAGTTGGTAGTCACCCCGATGCTTTTTGGGTTCCTTTTTCTTTGTCAGTGTTTCTTTCTTCGTTCTCCTCTTTTTTTTTTTTTTTTTCTTCCGGTCATTGAAGAGGTAATGAATATTAATAAATACTATAACTTATAATTAAATTAACGACAATGATCCATAAACAAATTGCACGGAAAAACAATAACAAATAAAAACAGCACTAAGTGGGTCTTCCCCTAAAAGCATTACTTTTTTCTCTTTTTAATTTATTTTTTATGCTCAGTTTCGTAAAAAGAATAAAAAGTATGAAAGATATAATTTTTTATCATCCAAGGAAAGAAAGTAAAAATACATATTTTCCTTCATTTGTGTCTGACAGGATAGATGAAAAATAAAAATGATTAATTTGTTTAATTTTTTTTAAAAAAAGTATATAATATATATTTTATTATTATATTTATACATGAAATTAATATATACATAATATATGTATATATCAAATGATATATATAAATAAATAAGATACATTTTAACATAAATAATCAATTTTTCATCTACTTTTCTTTTAATTTTGGAGGGATTGATTTTGATGAGTTGAAAGAAAAACTCATTCATCCACTTTTTTTATCTATGATATTTTCTTTACTTATCAAACAATGATTTTTATTTATCTTTATAACTTTTCATCATTTAATTTTTCCACCATATTAAACTGATAGGATTGATTGGTAGTTAATAAATCAATAAGAATTTGATTAAATACAATATAAATTTATTCAAAAATATTTACACAAAGAACGAAGTTGGTGTTTATCAGTATTTTAAAATCCGATTCGGCTCGGCCCAGCGCAGCCCAACGTGTTGACTCAGTGAATCAGAGAATTGGAGTCTGAACCAGGCCAATTTGGTTATTTGATGGTTCAAAAGAACCGGAAAAAATCTGCTGAACTAGACAGTTTTGTAACAAACCTGCGGAATCGGACGGTTTTGACCAAACTGACCGGATCAATCTAAATGCTATAAAAAGAGGTTTTAGGGCATTTTTGCCCAAATTTGATCCATTTTAACCCTCTGCTCACTACCTCACCGCCTCATTGCCTCCTGCTTCTCATTTTCGACTCCAACGACTCATGACGGAGTCACAGTCAGTCATCTCTAGTTGGTAGATTATGTTGAAATTAGGTAGTATTGGAAATTGAATGCATTGAGATTGAATACATGTTTGATGATTTTGAGATTTTTGTTTGATCTAATAAACATTTAAGTATGTTATTTTTAAAATTATTGTAATTTTTTAGTTTATTTATTATTACTTATAATTACTTATTATTTTTTTATTATAGTCAACGGTCTGATTAATAACTTAATGGTTGAATCAATGATCCATTAATCTGATTCTTTTTTCGAGTTAATGTCCGGGGTCGAGTTTTAAAACTGTGACATCCACGAATCTATTACATACGATTAAAAATTGAATAGGTACTAATTGATTAAGTTGTAAGATGAAACAATAAAAAAATAATAAGAATTGGACACAGTTCATTTAAAAATTTTAGATTGGGAGAAACACGCACTACACAACATGGTTATCATGATAGATATCTCAAAAAAAGAGAAATTATAATTGTTCAAGGGAAGTTCATGATCGATATATATTTGTGATCGATTTCAAAAATAGAAAGTATTACTTTTTAATTGGTTAAACTACCTTTTATTATTAAAGATCCTCTAACATAACAAACAAACTCAACACAAATCAAAAATTGAAAAGCTATTCCTTAGTAACCAAGCACCTTTTCTCATTACTACACAATGGGTGCTTGTGACTTGTTGCTTTTAAAACGATTGAAATTGAAAAGCTATTGCTTAGTAACCAAGTACCTTTTTTCATTGCTACACAGCGGGTGATTGTGATTGGTTGCTTTTAAAACGATTATAAATAAGAGATAGTACTAATTCCCATGAACTTAAAAATTAGACTTGATAATCTCAATAATTAAATAGGTAATAATTGAGACCTACAGTAAAATCAATGATTGTAATTATCAAATTTAATTTTTAAGTTCTTATAGCATTACTCTAACCTATTTAATGAGATCACGTCTGGTCTGGCACTGTTGTGTTCCTTGGAAAACAACGTGATGCTTTGTAAATCGCACACCATAATGTTACTGTCTCTCAAGTTTCAAATGACCCTCTAGTTCAAAAACTCTTTTTAGAGAGTTTGAGAGATGAAGGCGGAATTTTTTTTAAAAATTGTTGTGTGCATTTGGGTAAGTAAGTGAGTAACTTTTAGTATGTTACTATTAAACATCAGTTGCTTTACTTACGTGTCTATTGTTTATAAGTTTCTCTCTATTCCTTCAAAACTAGACTCGATCTTTTGAAGATCATGGGTATGAGTTTATTGTAAAAAATAATTTTCGTTTTTAAGCACAGATTTATAAATGGAATTAATAAAAATTGCTACTGAATTTTTTGACCAAAGCAACAAATATTAGAATTATGATCTGAGCAAAATAAGTATGAGGAGTGTAATCTAAAATTAGAAATAAAGCATGCAAATAGTGGTCAAATCATAAAAATATAACATGCGATTTAAATAAATACATTGGATTTATATAAACTAAATAAATTGATTTGGAAAGAACTGGTCTACGAGTCCGAGAGACGTGTGTTCACTGTCCTAAAGCAGTTGAGCCTTCCCACGTGAAGGTACTGATGGACACCAGCGACTTCACGATCCAACCCAGACGCTCATAACAGCACCTTCTCAATAGTCACGTCAACTGGAAGGTTGAAGTGAACGTGACTCGAATCGAGTTGTCCAAAAATACAATAATAGATGATAATTAAAAAGTATGCAAAGTATAAAAGGATAAACTATTGGAAGATTTTGGAGTGAATTTTCATGGTTACCAAAAGCTATCTCAACCGCCACTTATATATTCATTGTGCGTGTAACGTACACATGATACTATTCAATTCTTTTTTTCAACCATTTGGCACATGGTGACTTTTCAATGGTTTTATGCATGCCGACTTTTCAATGGTTTTTATTGTTTAGCCTTAAATAGTCATAAAATCAATTTTAAGGTCACAAATTATTATTTTTGAATATACATAGTAAATAGGATCAAAAAATTTACAATTGAAATTCACAAATTAAAATAAAAATTCAATAAAAATTTAAAAAACTTAATTTTATTCTTACATTTATTACGTCTGTGACTATCTTATTGCTGTCGCTGGTATGGTTAGTGGCAGGCAGCAAACGATGGGTACGATTTATAACTTATTTCGAGATGAATAGATCCCACTGGTATGATCAAAATTGGTCCAGCAGGGTACCTTGGTACAAGTAGAACACATTGAGACGAACTGAATTCGTTCAGATCTTTCTATATCACATGGGAAGGGACAAATCAATACCATCCAATTCCAGTATGTTGAGAATGGAACTTTGGTATTGATAGCCCCTCGCTTTATGGGATGGATATTCAGGAATAACACGACTTTAATTGTTTTTGGCATTCTAAGCTTTGTGTTTTTATTATTATTTTTTTTTTTTGTAAAAAAAGTTCTAGGTTGGCCTTCTTCCAGTTTTGCATAATTTCAACACTGCCCCTGATACTTTACTATATTATTTTTTTCCAACCTCTGAGTTGGCCCCTTTGGGAGATCTTAGCTCTGCACCTGCAGTTTATCCATCGTAGTATGTTGGTAATTCTCCTGGTTGTCTTTCCTACACAAGGGCAGTCCACAAGTATTTGGGTTTATAAAACAGTGACCATAAAACGTGGCATAACTTTGTCGCTCACTTCCTTGTATGCTTTTCCCCTGTAGCCCGCACGCACGTATGGCGTAGAGCTATGAGTCCAATTTTCTTGGTATTCTTAACGAGATTTCATCTAATACATTTTTTTTTTAATTCTTTTTTAACAGATGATTCATCATGCATTCAAGTGAGATTCATTATATATAAGTGAGTCACTCACGCATTAATAATGGATGACCTGTCAAGAAGGCATTACTCAATAGGTTATTGTATGTTTTACAAAGCATCACTTTGTTTCTCAAAATTCTTTTTTTGTTCTATGATGTTTTTATAATTTTTTTTTACATAAAAAAAATAAGATAACAGTTGAAAGAAAAACATGTCTAAGCAGCAATTTAAGGCAGTCGTTATACTAAATGGAAATTATACACCCAAATTTGATCATCATAATCGCAATTTGACAAAGCAGCCCTATACTACTTCAATTGAGCTTGAAATTCGAAAAAAAATGCACGAATTATAGGTTTAAGACGCCGGTTGAACTGGCGCTTTTAAGTTAAGTACGTTAGTTAAATTTAAAGGTGTTTAAATTTTCAATTATCCGCGTATTCCGACCCTATCCGATCTTACTAATCGGCTAGTGAAAAAAATTGGGTAAACTAACAGAAGAATTTTTAGTATTTCGCAAAAATTGGATAGGAATGCGAAGTATCCAAAAAAATTCCCGCATATATATATAATTATTTATTGCGGTAGTTATGATGTTTGATATGTGGTTGATATGGTTTAGACCTAAAATAATTGTTATTATATTTGTGCAACAATTATGATGTATTGATATTTATAACTTTCTTGTTTAGTTTTATTGTAATTGTTTATGTATTATTGATTTATTGTGTTGGTTAATTAGTGCAGATTATTTAATTCAATTGTTAAAATGATTCAAAAAATTAATAACTAAAAAATATTTGTTCACCCGATTTCTTACGGGATTTTCTATCCGATTGTTTTGGATGAAATTCAGATAGGAATAGTACATTTGATCGGATATGGTAGATGAAGAAATTTTTTTTATATAAAATATCAAGGAAAAAGATAGAATATTATAATACCTACATGTAAGGTACGGTGAATTGATACCAAAGAACAACCTTATGACCAAACAATAATAGTTAAGGGTGCAAATCGGGCGGGTTGGACAATCAACTCTAGCCCCAATCCTAGGTATATAATTTTCAACCCTAACCCTACCTCAGGTTGGGGAACTCAACCTGAGCACTGCCCGAGTTTAATTCGGGTGGGTTTGAGTTGATGATTTCGGGGATAATTTCGGATTATTTTACGGGTTCAATTCGGGTAGAATCCAAAATAAGTTTATTGTTCTAAACCTAATATAAATATTACATAATATTCACCTAAATTAACAATCAATAACTTCAACCAAGTTTTTAACGAGAAATGCTGAGAGAACGAGAGAGACAGATAACGATAGAACAAAAATGAAAAATCAGTACTAATGCTTTATATATATATAATTTTTTTTTAATTTGTCGGGTTCGGATTGTATTCGGGTTCAAGAGGCCTTAACACGAGCCCAATCCAAATTGAATTCGTGTCGGGGTTTTTTGACTCAAGCCCAACTCAAATATTAAAAACTCTTATTTAAGCCCTAATTTTTTCGGGTTGGAATTGGGTTGAAATCGGGTTGCCTAACCCAAGTTGCACCCCTAATAACAGTACAGTATGTAGTTTGATAATCAAAATCCACTGTTTTGGATCAGCAAGTGCTGCTTGAATTTATCATAAGTGGTCTGATATTAGAGAATCGAAACATATATACATAATTTTGCGTTGTAATGATCGAACAATTATAACTCCAAAGATAAAGATTTTTCGTGTTAAAAGTAAGTGATTACATGTTTGGAAGATTTAACCGGATGCATCCCTCGTTATCATGGTTGAAGGTCATATTATCGACTATTAATTCGAAGAGCTCTGACACATACCGATCGTAACGTTACAATATCAGGTGATACAACTTAAAAAAAATATTGAACATAACAAGAGATTCAAGTTATATCGCAGAACCGTACCAGTCGATTTGGTGTTGATAACTTGACAACTCGGCTACAATTCGGACAATTCGGCCGCATTGTTCGAGAATCGAAATTTATATGTATTGCATTACAATATCATCTCAAAAGATACTACGTCGGATATGATTCGACAGACTCAAATCAATATCGGGTGGTACTTTAAACCATGCCTATTACAAGTAAACACCATTGCTTCCTAAATATTTGCTTGTTTTAAAACATCAAACTAAACAATCGGTTACGGATTGGAGAAATTCAAATTAAAACTAATATATTAGTTTAAGAGTTATTATCATACCATCGTAAAATAGGCTCATTATAATCAGATTCAAAAAAATTAATAATAGTAATCAGATTCAACAAAGAGATATAACAAATCATAATTCTTTCTCAAAAATCTCTTGGATCAACAAACACATTCCCCACAGGTCTTATCACTGTCAAATCCTCCTCATCATCATCACTTGGATCATTCACTTTCTTTATGTACCAGAGATCATTGATGCAAGACATGGAGGATCTTAAATGCACAGGCTCTCTCAGAGGATCAGATAGCCCTAACTCAGTCACTATTGCTTTGCAATCACTCACATTTTTGGCCAATCTTGAAGCAAAGCTCCACACAGATTTCATGAGCGCCCCAACCCTCTCTCCCTCCCCATGCAGCCCATATAGGAATAGAAAGCCGAAGGGTTTTTCAATTGATGATGAATCACTTATTGGTGGCAGTTTAAGACATGGGAAAATTTTACTTCTTGCATGGTCTAACTTTCCATGAAAAGCTTTAAGAGGATGTGATGACCTCCTTACTTGAAGCTTGTAGGCCTCACATGTATTCCATATGCTAAAGATTGCCCATGAACTTGGAGTTCTATTTTTGGTGTCGTCCTTATTAGTACTCAAGCCTTCGAGTCGCGAAAATAGTATCTCTACATGCGATGGTAAGACTGCATACATCTCAGGAGTCTCGTGTACTGAATTGCTATTATTGTTGCTGAAACCGTTTGAGCTTCCTTCCTTGATATAAGACACCCATGTACCAAGGCTCAGGCTTTCCTTGAAGATAGCATCAATGTCAGCAGGATATACGTTTTTGCATTTAAGATTGTTCTTGTAGAAGGAAATGGCCTGATCCACAGACAACTTCTCTATTTTTATGTCTTGATCAGATAAATCTTCAGCATGTGAACTGATCACTGGTTGGATATATATAACTAGGGAACTAAATTGTACATAACTGCATCTTATAGTAAAGAGATTTGTAGAGGCAATGTTTTTCTCCTCCGTGGCTAGGAAAAAGTATTGGGCTCCATTTCTCATCAACCATTCTTCGATCGATTGAACTAGTTGCAATCCAATCCTCATTCTCCTTCATATATAGATCATGCAACTAATTTTAGAAAGTCCTCATCAAATAATGATTTGATATATTATTCAAAAATAAGTTTGAGATCCTTAAGAACGATTTTTGAGGTTAGATTAATGTATAAGGAAATAAGACAAAGTCTAGTTTCAGATTGGTGCCATGAGAAGTTAATAAAGAATTACAAGAAACAGCTAACCAAGTAGGCAACACAGCTACAAGAGAATGTTTTTTAAATAGAATAACGAGGTGATACGATATTTCTATTGAGGTGAACGTTCATAATAGCTAACTTAGCTTAACATAATTTACTAGAACGAGGTTGCGAAGTTGTAAGTCGATGAGAACTACATAGATCAACTTAATTCTTAAAGCTAAAACTACACAAACTACATAGGTCATTTTTGCGTATACATAATCTTAGTTGTCAGAGTCTCTACGGAGTGCATCACCATTGAAAATAATTTAATAGTTTTCTTGACAAACCTCATTATTTTCCCTTTTGGACCCTTTGATGTGGAATTCACCTTTATTTTTAAGAAAATTAAGTTTCACCCCAATTCTTTTTTCAATTGTAAGGTTTGATAATTGAATCTCACAGCCCAACTTTCCTATGAGGGGACTCAAATCCCGGTGTTCGCTCCTTGTTAAACCCATATTTAAGGTCGTATACTGAACTCTCTCTCCTCTATCTTATTTTTCCCGCGTTATAATAGTGACTAATGGCCCAGTGGTAATGACTCACTCACGCCCGATGTCAGAAAAGAAAACTAGTGAATAGTGACAACAACTTTTAACAGTATTTATTGGTGAGGATGTTTTGTTGTTGGGGGGGGGGGGGGGGGGTAGAGCAAGAGGGAGAAATAGGGAGTTTACCGGCTTCTAGGGGAGACTCTAAGGCCCAGTATACAACCCAACCTCACCTGTCTTCCTCCAAAACCAGTCCCCGCTAACTTAATGCATCCTCGAACCATTCCGACGAGCTTGCCGTTTTTTAGCATCTCAGCAACCTGTAGGCCAAGCATGGCAACAACAATCTTAGTGTTCCCATTAAGCATTAACACAAAAAAAATATATAAATAACCTGTTTAGGAGACAAGAAGCATAGGAAGAGAAAAGCAAAATCAAACAATTATTACATACGATAAAGATTCTCAACTTCCTAGGTAGTATAATCAAAGCTCACCCACCAGCATAACATGAACAGGGTAGAGCCTAATCCTACATAGAGGGTCATTCATCATGTTGGTGAACATGGAGATCCCCTTTTTAGACCCTATACTGCAGTTCTTCTCTAGCTTCTTGACAGCTTCAATATCTCTCCTTTCATTGAATTCTCTTACTAGAATCTTGTTCCTTATGTTCTCAATCTCATTCATTTCTTTTCACTCCAGTTAAGGAACAAGTAGCCACACACACCTCCAATCAGTGTGCTTATATACAAGGGATATCACTAAACAACTATAGTCATTTATTCTTTGTCAACATCATTTTTAAAATTTTGTTTGGTATGGTACTTTTGTCAGTATAGCATAGTGAACTGAATATTTCAAGCATAACATAACTGTCCAGCTAGCTTTACCCGAGTTCTTCGTAGCAATTAAAATTGGAGCTTATTGAGCAAAAAATTGGATGTACAACATAATTCCAGGCTTATACAAAAGGTCCCCAAATTATACTCTCAAGGGAGAGATACTCGGGTTGATGCAGCACGTTTAATGCATGACTACATGGCTGATAAGACCGTCAAAAGCAGCAGCGTTGGTTGGGTGTTAATCGGATTTATTTTGAGCAACAATGTCAAAAAATTTATCAAGACCCCATTTTGAAAAGTTCTCAACGAGCCAAACAAGACCGATTTATGTATTTGTCAAACCGTCATTTTTTAAGTCAAAAAAAAAAAAAAGACGTTTAAGCCACTTTTTAAGCACTTTCATATTCTATCATGTTGTTTGGAATATTTAGTTAATATTTCACCTGCATTAATGTTGGGGTTTTCTCGTAATTTAGGACTGTTGGGGTTTAATATTTAAAGGATGTTTAAGATTGAATCAACAACATTGATTTTGATTAAATAAAACTTAGAGACGAGTTCTCTTTTCTTTCCAATTGCCTTGGTATTCTACGAAATCAACAGGATTATTATGGGCTCTAATATGACTGGTTTTAACTTCTGTTGCTTAATCTCAGTTTTATACCCACGGTGCCAGCATCACAAGGACATAAAACAATCTAATAAATTGGTAAGTAGCTACTATTCTTATTACATCCCAATGGACTATGATACATTTGTGTTTGATCTATATTCATACATATATGTTAGGACCGAGGCTTTTCCATCCCAAGTTGTTTTACCAAGCGAAAGATGATGAGAATATCATGCAGTTATTGGTACAGTGAGTGATAAATTATTTACACGTGGTGCACCTGAATATATGGAACAATAATGTTACAAGTGATTCAGCGTATCTCAGTAATCTTACTTTTTCATGTCTATTCAGCAGGAGTACAACATTTTCTGTTCCATTCAAGTTTCAGATGTGAAAATAATGTCGGCAAAGCTTTACTGCAGCAGTGAGATTGAATCCTTCGTCATTTTCAGTAAATTTTGAATGCAACGGTAATACTATGTAAGTAATATTGACGCGGTATCACTAATTAATAGTAAAATACTAAATGGATAACATAAACTCTATTTGAGTAGTTATTTGCTTACATAGAAGATGAGTTGGTAGTTATTATCTTTCATGGAGGGTTAGTTATTAATTTTAGTGGGACCTATTTATTTATTTATTTATTTTGATATTATTAATTGATAATATCACGTTGATATTTCTAACCGTTGCAATGGTATGGGTGTTAGGGGGAGGGGGGGTTGGCAGGTTCAAAGAATCATTCAAAAGCTAAAAGAGTAATATCATGTACACCAAATTCTTTCATAAAATGACGTGTGAGCTGTTGAATTTGTGAAAACCACTAACACTTACTACACTTTCAAATGTTATCACATCATCTGGTGCAAGAAATTTGGTACTCGTAGCATTACTCATGGCGAACCTAATGGATGTTTGTGTTCTTGGTTCTCTCTAATGCCCACTCATTTATGTTGGAAGCACCTAAATTGATATATAAGGTATTGTGAACCTAATTGGACATTAATCTTATTCATTGAAGGCTCTTTTATAAGTATTCCACACTTCTTTGCACTACATGTATCAATTAAATTTTGAGAAATCATCAGTAAAGATCAAATTTAAGATATTCGAGGTTACGATTCACACCAAGTTCACTATAAGATTTTCTTTATTTTTGGGTGTTTATTATTATTATTTTTTTGGGGTTCCACATAATCATTCAATGCCTAAATTCTTTGATGGCCCCCACATTGATGTTGGACAATTGTTTTTTTATCAATTGGTTTTACTCTCTATGCCCACTCATTGTGGAGTTTAGCAACTATTGGACATGGACGAAAAGTTGTTAGGCTATATTTAGTAAGGGGGGTCCTTTTGTACTGTCAATTCCATGATGTTTTTCCCATATTTGGAATTAATAAGTAGCTATAATTGTAATTCCATAAGCATAATGACTCTTTATTGTCTTTTAAGCATTCTCTTGGTTCATGAATAAACATATGTTCAATTCACAATGAACTTGAACTTTATTATATCCCTTATTCAATGAACATTAGAAGGTGGTCTTTTCACTAGCCAGAGACATGTACTTTACTTTACTTTGTTATATGCAACTATCCTAATTTTACGATATCATACAAAAAAATAATTATTGTTATTGATTGCGGATAAAATAAAGTATGTACACGTGTCAAAAAAGTATGCTACATAAAGTGTGAATTATACTTTATACCCTAAAAGAATTAAAATTTCTTATTTTACACTCTTAAAAATTAATTTTTTTTTACATTGCACACTTGATGTATTAAAAACTAGTTATTGTCTGTGCCTGAAGGCATAAAGTAATAAAAAAAAGTAAATAATAAAAATATTTGTATTCATATTCAAAATTAAATCACAAACATAAATAAGAGATAAATGAATTTAAGCATCGGTTTGTGATGGAGGTGAGAGGTGGTGACCAATAATGGTGGTGATAGAAAATAGTGATGGTTGTGGTGAGTGACAATAACCGTGGTGGCTACAGTGGCGGTGACGGTGATGGTGGCGGTGGCGGTGATGGTGGTGGTGGCGGTGGTAGTGGGGGTGGTGGTGGCGGTGGCAGCGGCAATGGCGGGGGTGGGGTGGTGTGGCGGTTTCAAACATTATTTTAAAAAAAAATATTTATGAGAAATAATTTATAGAACTACTTTTAAAAATCAATTCAAACACACCCTTAAAACTCTATTTTTTCTATTAAATATAGGGTGTTAATATTAACCGTTAGATTAATTTTAAAGTAAAATTTAAAGCGATCTAAACTACGAATAACAAAAGTCATTTTATTTATTTTTTGAAATTTGAATTAATAACTATTTTATTATATAGATATTACAATATGATTTTTTTGTTAGTTTTCGTTATTCATTCAGTTAATGTCAATGAGGTGATTTTTAACAAAATAAAAAGTAACGAAAAAGTCACATTATAATACTTATTGAGAGTCTAATACTCTCAAAGTGAAAAAAAAATTAAATTTTTCGGGAGATTCTATTTTTGGACAAGTATAATCTAAGCCAGAGACCACGTGAATGGTGATACAGTAGGGCCAGACCAGACAGTGTTTGATTTACCAGTTTCTAGTATCACGTCTTAGCTTTTGGTTGAAATTAGTCTTCGACTTAATAAGTGTGTTTGTCCTGCAACTCTTGGTGCCAGTATTCATCTTATGCAGTCTTTCAACGTGTAGCTACTAAACCCACCATTTAGGAACTCAATTCGGTAAACAAATTTCTTCAGATTTGAAAGATACTAAAAAAATATTATTGTGTCTTTTCATTTAGATTTTGTGTAAGAAAAATAAAAATTAATTTTACTATTTCACTAATATTGTCTCGAATTATAGTCCATTTTGTCATTTTTTTTACTCAAATTTTCAATTAGTAAATAATTTTCACTTATATTTTGCCCCATCTCATTCGGATGTTTGGCTCCGCCTTTGGATTTTAAAATGAATTGCAACTCAAAATAATATATCAATTAAGCTTATTCTAATTGCACTACATATTTAAGAAAATATTATATCGCGTACTTGTACTCATGTTACTTATTAAATTAACCAACGATGCAAGAAACATTGATCTTAACTAAAAATTGAATTATGTTTTGCACTATGGTATGGGACATAACTAAGATTGTTAATCAAACCAAGTTAATCAAGCTCGACTCAGGTTTGACTCGTTCAAGTTCAACTCGTTGAACTTGAACAATTTTTTAGATTTATCTTAAAATTGAGACTGATAGGCTCGACTCATTTATATATAAATACTTATACTCAATTCATTTTAGATTCGTTCAAACTCAAAAATAGGTTAAACTTAAACAAATTTTTAAATCTAATTAGAAAAATAAATATTTTAAATTTAACTCGAACTCATTGGAGTTCATTCGATTATCCTCCCTAGACAGAGGAACGAGATTCACATAAAGAACAACAAAAGTACGAACTTTACTTTCCAACTTTTATTCAAAAGTTCTTTGACTGATTGGGTCATTTGCAGCCAACACCACATAACCCTTCTCCACAAACTTCTTGAATTATTATTTACTGATGTTATTTTAAACAAATTTTTTAAGTAAAAAATAAATAAATTTGTCCAAAAAATAAAAGCATGTTTGATTGTTTTGCTTATAAAAGTGATTAAGAATTTAAGATATATTTCAATACATAAACCATATTATTTATATACATATGTCACATACTACTATATGTATGATTGCATTGAGTATAAAAAAATGATACTAAAAAAGTTATAAATAAAGTAAAAAAAAAAAGAACAAAAAATTACTTTTAAAAGCATTATGAAATGGCACTTAAATCTTTCCTAAAAGATTGTCTATTTTAAAAAAAAGAATAAATTATCTATTTAACTTCTAAACTATACAATGAATTTCAATTTAGCCTTAGTTTAAATTTTTTTTCATTTGACTCTCTAATTTTTCAATTCGTACTCCAAAAAATTGAAATACCTACCACATCACTAAGACCGTAGAGTATAATAAACTTTATACCCAATTCATAAAAATTTCTCAATTATTCAAATTCAAACTCGACATCTTAGAGGGTAACAGTGGGAGGTGAGGGCTCGTCAGAGCCGTTGGGTGTGGTGAATTGATATATTTTATGATTTATCTAAAACATCGCTTATAATCTCAACAGTGCAAGGGCTTTGTGTGCTCATTTTATTTATTATAAAATTGGACATAATTAGATTGAAAAACCATATCGACTCAGTGTCTGAATTAAGATAAAATTTAGTATAAAAAACGAATTTAATATAATGTAGAGGCCAGATAAGTAATTTAAGCTTTTCCAAACGACATCGTTTATATCTCATATTTTTTCCCAGGCTAAACGAAGCTCGATCCCAAATTCCAAACACAAAAACCCCGCCATTTCTTTTCACGGCTAGGGTTTCAAATTTCAATAGTCCCATAGACAACATCGAGCTCGAATCTCAAACTTTCTCTACCAAATTTAAACAGTACTCTTTTGAACTCTCTGATGCGAAGAATGAATTCTCTCACCGATTAAGTACTCATCAACAGCCCGATTGATCATGAAACACTCAGCCATGGCACATAGACGATCACCAAAATCATACAGAAGAACAAGAACAAGATCCATTTCTTTGATTCATCTATCACATGGAGTAGATATTGTCTGCGGACTTAGACGAAACAAAGAGGATTCAAACTGGCTGTGTTGAAGTTGGATCCGATCTCGGATTCTCAAGATTTGTATCGCTGATTCGAGTGATCTCTCTCAGATTTGAACAAGCTCTTGTTTACAATTTGATTAAATTGTGCAATTTTATATGGTTGATTGCTGATCTTTTTTATTTGTTAGAATATTAGGCTTGGAATGCGCATCATCGGAGTGAAGTTCCGAAGATTACACGGAGTGAAGCAGAAGAGACTGAAGCTTCCGCGCACCGTTATAGTTGACTCCATTTACGAGGAAATTTTTTTGTGGCTAAGCGGCGTTATTGAAGCTGTTATTGGTGATGCTCTTGTTCTTCCAGGTATCAGAGAATTGCCTTAATTTTGGGTGAATTTTCATTTTGCTTATTACGAGTTGATCTCACAGATTGGACTACTTTTACTTGAGGTAGACTTTATTTATGTTATTCTGTAAAATCTACCTCAATTTCTTCTCTCCTTAAACCTGTTGGTGGAGATGTATATTTTATGGTAAAGTAGTGCCTCTATTCTGCGAAATGCAAGAATTGAGACATTTAAAGCACAGAATGGTGGTCTCAGGGACAAGTATCTCTATGTAATTAGGTTTGGGGGAAAGGTGTGGTAGGTTGGGGGGGGGGGGGGGGGAAGAGGTTGTAGCTCTAATGGAAACAACTATAATTCATTAACTTGAAGTTGTAATAATGTGAGATTATATCAGAGTTGTACTGCTTCAAGTCCTGCAACATGTCATGATGGATTTAGTCCTTTGTCCCGAAGTAATAAATCATCTTGCTCTATGTTATGCTTTGGATTATATCTTGTTTTAACACATAATTGCCTGCCCATTTTCACTACTCCTGAGATTGTTAGAAAATCAGTCAGTTGAATTGAAGTTACTGATAGGCTTTGTGTGGTTTCAACTCTAGCTGCTCACAAACCCTATACGCTTCACTAGCTCACAGCTTCTCTCTAAAGCTGGCCTTATTGTATAATTGTCTTTTGAATTTTGTAATTTGCAATGTTTGAGGTGTTGTATGTTGCATAGTAAGAATAAAATGTTGTAGGCTTAGCTGGGCTAAGCCTTCAATCAACTCATTTCATTGTTACATCAGCAAACTTATTGTCTTGTGAATGCACGATTCATAGCACTGGTGAATCCTTTGACAAATCAGCATGGTGTTCTCATGATTAATCCAGCTCACTCCACTTGTCATCTTGGGAAAGCACGAAGGGGTTGATAAATTGGATGAAGGGTGTTGCTTGCTATAATAAATGCACTTTCAAGTTACAACAACAATCACTTAAGCAACAAGAAGGCAGATATCCCAAATTTTGTTCTAAATCAGTTTGTTAGAGCAGTACTGTTAGAGTCGTAGATTGTGTCTAAAATTGTCATACTTAGAATTAATTATTTTGACGAGGAATTGTAGGAAATTCGCAAGACCGGTTCAAAACATGAAAATCTTCTAGTTCCTTGGATTTTGCTTTGGTGCTTTTACTTTTTAGCCAAATTCCACCGATTGGGCCACTGTTTTCGTAGTTATCTTTATTTCAGAGCTCTTTTCCTACTTTTTCTTTGGAATCAGCATTTTATTGGAATTCTAAGGTTTTAGTACTCGAATCATTAGCATTCCCATTCTTGGTTAAATTAAACTCTCATTTTTCATTTGAAATAAGTCTATGTAATTGCAGACAGAACATTTGCATAATATTATTAGCTAATGTGCCTGAATTTTTCTGCAAGTATGGCTTGTACAAGGATTACGTAGCCGGTCCTAAGTAGTTGAGATAAAAGCTTTGTTAAGTTGCCACTTAATAACCATATGTAGTCACTGTCCCGCATGGACTTTTATTCCAAAGGGCACTGAACTGCAAATGGTCTCTTCATCACAGAAACATTAGATCATAGATTTTAATCATAAATAACTGTCAAAAACAGTGGGTTGCTGCAAATGAGGTGTCTGGGGCTTAACTGAATATCAACCTTTGTGCCTTAAGAATAATATGCATTAGGCTCACGTGAACAACACATATTCTGTTCAGGACAGTAATTTAACTATTACTAATTCTTGAATTTTCTACGAGGCAAACCTTTGTTAAAAGTTTGCCTTCTGTCTGGGGAATCTGATATGCTTATCAGATTAGATTATAGCTCTACAAATCGGAAGAATCGGTTTTTCTTCACTCATTCATCTTCTAGTAAAATAAGTTTCTCTGACCAGACTCACCACCAAGTCACTTTAGATTCCTATCATTGTCGCTGGTTATGTTAAACTTTACAGAATTGCTTAATTTATATCGTTACTTTAATCTGAAGTTTTCCTTATCCTGAACTAATCATATGGAACATCAATACAATACACCGAAATCTCTTGTATTTGATCAATCATCAACCAGGTATGTTTTCATTTTTCTGCTCTTTATTTTTTTCTCATTTTCTTGTTCTGTTTTGTTTGTTGTTTCCCCTTGATTATTCCTTCTTGGTAAATTCGGACGAGCCATGACATTGTAGGAGGCTGATTACTAGTTAGAGGTCCAGTCCTTTAAGATTTGTTTTGAATGTTTCATAAGAATACTTCGAAGTTATATTGCATCATGAGGTCTCATCGATGTAGCTTCTTTGGCAAGGAATTGCTATTGTTTTCTTGGAAATTGCTTTCTTCTAATCATTCTTTTCCAATTTTCAAAATTCCAACATGCATATGCTATTGAAAAAAATAAAGATACGAATTTTTCTTTACAATAAGTATGTTCATGAATTTTATAATATTCCAGATTTTCTTTTCGTTATAAAAAGATGATGTCTTATTCTCATTCCGCCTTTCCACATTTATACATCATGATCTACATAAGGATAGCATTACGGTACTGAAAAAAAATGGGTACCATATTGACCGTTATTATTTGAAATGGTTAAGTTATATTTTTTTAAAGTGAAATTATAACTGATTGACATTATGATCAAATATCAATTATGAATAATTGTAATTAGTGGCGATTTACTTTTATAATGTGTAGTTTTTATGATCAATCATAACATTTTAAAAAATAAACATGCCCTTTAGAGTTATCAAAAGTTGTAACGAAATCATTATTATACTTTCTTTGGTGGTACCATAGTTGTCCTCTTTATACAAAAGAATATCTCTAGAAAAAAAATGGATGGGTGGAAGAGATGTAGGAAGCAAATCTAGGGATTATAGCGATCTAAAAGGGATTGAATGAGCTTAAATTTAATAATTGAATTTTATTATTTGTTTTAGGATTATTTTATTAGTTAGGAAATATTTATTTGATTAAGAGTATTAATTAAAGTTTAATTAGAAAATTATTGTAGAATTTTAGTATAATAAGAATTTGAGAGTTAATTATGAAACTCTTTTTAGTATTTTAGTAGAAAAGTAGTTTTTATTTTAATAAGGGACTTGACTTATATATATTTGTATAATCTCAATTATTTTTATTAGAGAGAGTGACCTAATAAAAAGTGATTCTCAATTTGTGTGTTTTTTATTGCGAGAATGAGTTAAATTCTTTTCACCCCTTTTTTTTATTTTTTTTTTTTTATTTTGTAATTTTTAATCCTTCCCGTCTTACATTAGTTTTGTATCAGAGTAAATTTTTAATTCATTAATCACACTTTGTTGCCCTAGTCTCTACCTACTGTTACTGTTATGTAGTCTTTCAAGTCATTAGATACTCTTTCGATAAATAGCTTGCTACATCAGTTTGCTACTAGAGTAAAACTTTGATTCTTTAATCACATTTTGCAGCCCTAGTCTCTACCTACTACTATTAGTGTTCTGTAGCCTTTCAAGTCATTAGATTTTCTTTCAACAAATATCTTGTTGGATTTCATCAAAAAAAAAATCATTGCCTGACCGAGGAATTGAACCAACACCATTGCAATTTCACAAACACCCTCCAAGACTTTTAAAATTATAGATTGGACCCTTGAAATTTCTAAAACTGCAAATTTGACCCTTGAAATTTCTGAAATTGTACTTTCATCTTTAAAATTTTAAAAATTATACTTTAGCCCCAAAATTTCTGAAATTACAATTTTTTCCCAGAATTTGGATCCTAAAATTTTTTACAACATTTCATGTTATTTTTTTTAATCAAGATGGTTACTAATGCCAAATTACTTGTCAAATTTGAAGCCCGTGATGCTAAGCTCGATTTGCTCCAAGCATCAATGGGTTCACTCCACACATTAAAGAAATATATATATGAAAGTATACACAAGTTGGCTGCCATGTTTGGAGTTAAGCTCCCAAATAAAGATCTTGCAAACAAGGTAGATTTTGATTCATCTTCTTCTTTCACAATTGCAAGCTCCAATTTAATTGAATGATGAGTTGAAATTAGATATCATTGGTGAGCCTAAAATTCTCCTCATCATACATCAATTACTTTTGATAAGTCAATTTCAAAATATATTCTTACAGAAGAAGTTAACAGAATTTCAAAGGGTATCACTACAAATGGAGTTGTTATTTTGTCTCCACTAGATTATATGTTTCCTTCACTTATAATAGTGTACGTGGATAAGACTGTGATGGATGTAATACACGAAGGGATTATTTTTTACTATGGAGATCTATAATGCTATTTTCTTGGAACACAAGTGTCTTCAGATTTTTTTGGAGTACTTGTGGCCTTCTAACTCATTGGAGAGGAATTTTTTTCAGTCAGGGAGAATTGATAGAAATCAAAAAGAGATTGGATGAACTTAAATTTAATAATTAAATTTTATTATTTATTTTAATATTATTTTATTAGTTAGGAAATATTTATTTGACTAGGAAATTATTATAAAATTTTAGTAGAACAAGAATTTGAACGTTAATTATAAAACTCTTAGTATTTTAGTAGGAGAGTGGTTTTTATTTTAGCAGGGGACTTAGCCAATAAATAATTATGTAATTTTAATTATTTTTATTAGAGAGAGTGATATAATAAAAAATGATTCTCTTTTGAAAAATTTGTGTGTTTCTTCACTGCGAGGATGGGATAAACCTCTTCCACCTTATCTTCTTTCTTTTTTCTCTTTTTATTCTGTGATTGTTAATCCTTCCTATCCTACATCAGTTTAGCATTAGAGTAAAACTTTGATCCATTAATCACACTTTGTTGCTCTAGTCTCTACCTACTGTTACTATTATGTAGTCTTTAAAGTCATTAGGTTCTCTTTCAACGAATAGCTTGCTAGATTTCATTAACAAAAAAAAAAAAAAAAAAATCATTCTCTGACCCAAGAATTGAACTAACACGACTGCAATTGCACAAAGACCCCCAAGACTTTTGAAATTACAGATTGGACCCTTGAGATTTTTGAAATTGTAGTTTAACCCCTAAAATTTCTAAGATTGCACTTTATCCTCAAAGTTTTAGAAATTATACTTACCCCAAAAGTTCTAAAAATTATAATTTTGCCCCAGAATTTTCTAAAATTATAGTTTGATTCTAAAATTTTCTACAACTTTTCATGTTATTTTTTCAATCAAGATGATTACCAATGCCAAATTATTTGTTAAACTTGAAGCCTGTGATGCTAAGCTCGATTTGCTCCAAGCATCAACGGGTTCACTCCACACATCAATGGAATATATACATGAAGGTGTACACAAGTTGGCTACCATGTTAGGAGTTAAGCTCTAAAATAAGGATCTTGTGAACGAGGTAGATTTTGATTCATCTTCTTCATCTGTTAATCATCAACAAATAGTTGAACAAGCTTTGCCCTAAAAAGTTGCTCCACAATTGCAAGCTTCAGTTCAATTGAATGATGAGTTGAAATTAGATATCATTGATGAGCCTAAAAGCTTTCATCATACATTAATTGTTTTTGATAAGTCGATTTCAAAATATGTTCTTACAGAAAAAGTTAAAGGAGTTTCAAAGGGTACCACTACAAATGAAGTTGCTATTTTGTCTCTACTGGAGATAGGCTTCTTTCATCTATAATAGTGTATGTGGATAAGACTGTGATGGATGCAATGCACGAAAGGATTATTTTTTACTATGGAGATCATAGGCGAAGGGAGGTAGGGGCCAGGTTGGGCACGTGTATATATATATATATATATATATATATATATATATATATATATTATATGTGTGTTCCCCTCATTTATATTAGGCTCACATTATTTATCCAAAATAATTAAACAATTAAGTCCATTTAAAACAAAAAAAAATTGAACTCACTATTATCTATCCAAACTTATTAAAAAATTAAATATTTAACTTATCACAATCTACCCAAACCTATTAAAAAAATAAAACTTTTAGCCCAACATTAAAAACAAAATTTTTGACCCACCATCATTTAAAAACAAAACTTTTAGCCCACTTGACTAAAACCTATCTTATCTTTTTTTTTTTTTTTCTCTTTGTTTCATTTACTCCTAGCTGCCCACTGCCTAGCCACAAGAAAAAAAAAAGAAACAAAGAAAAGCTCAACACACGAGAAGTTCAGTTCTTTGAGTTTTTTTGTCATTCCTTGCACCAACTTATAAAATTATTTTATACATTATATTTACCCCCTAAATTTTTGGAAATTTTAATAATGGTTCTAGTCTTTTTTTTTTTAATAAATTAGTGGACCACTAACCATCTAAAATAAATGTGTTAGTTTTGGATTGAGTCAATGTTTTATTTGTATATTGATGAAAATACAATATTTCTCTTTATCTAACACAATGTTCGTTACTTTTTAAAAATAATTTTTAATTTTCATTTACCATTTTTTTAGTAATAGTAGTTTATAACCTAATAAAATACGAAAATTAAATTACATTTAATTCATATACAAAATTTTAGAGATTTTAAAAATTTTATATTTTATTGAAATATATAATTAGGTTAAAATGTACTAAAAAAATTATTTTGTATCTTTTTATTAAGATTTTGTTTCAGCTAAATAAAAATTGAATTTATTATTTCATAATAATTTAGTGTTGATTCTTACTTTTTTTTTTATTCTTGAACTGAATTTTTTTGTATTAATTTTGACTTAATATTTTTTTATATGAGTTATATTTTGCATTTATCATAGATATTTATGGCTCTGTCCCTGACAATATACATTTTTTTTTGGGAATTTTTTATGTTAAATGGACTTTATATATCAAATATAATATAATAAATATAAATGTGTTATATAGTGTGATTGGTTATAAGGAAAAAAATTAGAGTGCTTAAAGTGTCCAGCCTGAGCAAAATTTCTGGCTCCGCCCCTGATAGAGATTAATAATGTTATTTTCTTGGAAGACAAGTTTCTTCAGATTTTTTAGAGTATTTGTGGCCTTCCAACTATTAAAAGAAGAGTTTTTTTTTTTCAGATAAGGAGAATTGATAGAGATTGAAAAGGGATTGGATGAACTTAAATTTAATAATTGAATTTTATTATTTGTTTTAGTATTATTTTATTAATTATGAAATATTTATTTGACTAGGAGTATTAATTAGAGTTTGACTAAGAAATTATTATAGAATTTTAATTGAATAAGAATTTGAGAGTTAATTATAAAACTCTTAGTATTTTAGTAGGAGAGTAGTTTTTATTTTAGCAGGGGAATTGACCTATAGATAATCGTGTAATCCTAATTATTTTTATTTGAGAGTAATTTTTATTTTAGTAAGGGATTTGACTTATAAATAATTGTGCAATTCTAACTATTAGAGAGAGTGATATCATAAAAAGTGATTTTTCATGGAAAATTTGTGTGTTTCTTTACCGATTCCTTGCAAGAATGAGGTAAACTCTTTCCACTCTTCTTCTTTCTTCTTCTCTTTCTATTATGTGATTTTTAGTCCTTCCCGTCCTACATCAAAGGCACTTCTAGTTCTATCCTTGGGGAACTTTATCACCTGACTTGCTATCAGTTTACTTCTCTTGAACAATCTTAAGCATTCAGCTTACAAAAAGGAAAGTTATCTCGCAAATTGCTAGTGAGATTCCATTTTTTTCCCTTTTCCGTCTTCTTAGGAATCAATACAACATTAGGAAAAGCTCGAGTCTTTTTGAAAGTGGTTAAAAGGAAGTTGCAGAGGGAAAGTCCTTCTTCTAGTTGGGGAACAAAGGCTTGGTTTGAACTCGAGCAAAAAAAACTGTAATATAGCATTGCAGTAGCATTAAGGTAATAATATTATTGCAGGAAGTGGCAGGCTTAATACAGGGGTCAAATTTGCTTGATCAACACCAAGAGGACATTACTTCCACCAAGTTGACATAGATGATGGAAGAGAACAGTCGATCATGGAGACAAGCGGAAACAAAAAATCACATGTCAATTCAAAACGCACCAGATGATGTGAATCTTGTATTGTCCATCAAAGAAAAGATGGAAGATGTTTCTCTCCTAAGTTGTATCTGCAGAGTCTCAGAGGGAAGTTCTGAGGACAATGAAAACATGTACTTTCCGAAATTTGTCTCAATTGGCCCTTTACACAATAAAAACGACAGTTTGAAAGCCACGGAGGATCAAAAGTGGCGATACCTTAATGCACTTCTCGGTCGAAAACCAAATCTGGAGGCAAGGTTGGATCATTGTGTGAAAGCACTTAAAATTTTGGAACAAAAAGCTCGGAAATGCTATCAGGAAGAAATTGATATGCAAAGCAATGAATTTGTAAAGATGTTGTTACTTGATGGTTGCTTCATCATTGAGTTCTTCCTCAAATATGCCATCAAGGGTCTGAGACGTAGTGATGACCCATGCTTCAACACAAGAGATAGATTTTTTCGGCTGAGGTGTGATTTGATCCTACTAGAAAACCAGATTCCTTTCTTCGTTCTTCAGCAACTATTTCACCTTGTTCCGATTCCCAGACAATGCAGTCAGTCCCTCACTGAGCTCGCCTTGCATTTCTTCAGAATAATTATTCCTGGAGATATACAATATTTTCAAGAGAAGTTTGGCGAAGAGTATTTCAACCACTTGCTTGACCTAGTCCGCCAGTGTTATCTCCCAACATATCTTGAAGTCCAGTTCAGTGGGGAACAGAAAATTCTGTATTGTGCGACAAAGCTTAAAGAAGTAGGGATTGGCTTCAAGAAGGCTACCACTACCACCTTGTTGAACATTAAGTTTGTTGATGGAGTGATAAAGATCCCGCCTTTCAAAATTCAAAACCATACGGAAATCTTATTCAGGAACTTCATCGCAATGGAGCATTGTCACCTTGATTGCACAAAGTATATCACATCGTATGCCATCCTCATGGAGCAGCTCATCTGTTCTGACAAAGATGTGAGATTACTTCACCAAAGACGAATTCTCCCCAATGGTTTAGACAAAGGGGAAGAAATTCTTGCTCTGTTCAAGAAGCTCCATGTGAACATAGATGTGAAGGACTTCTATTATAGGAGCCTTGGTGAGCAAGTCCATGGGTATGAAAGAACCAAATGGCATCAGGTATGGTGGCAGAAAATAAAGCAAACTTTCCCAAAAATCTGCTAGGGTGATTCATTCTTGCATTCTTGTTCCAAGTTCACAATTTAACAGACTTTATTTTCTGTAATCTCATTCTCACTACATTTTCAGAGAAGAGAAGTCAATTTCTCCAAGTTCTACCTGTATGATGGTTTTCCTGAACTTGTCAACTGGTTTTAATCTTAAGTTATTAGTTCACAGTTTGCCTTTAAGGTGATTATGCAGCATGATGCACAACCAATTACATATTTAACCCTTTTTTTCTTTTTTCTTTTAATAATTGTCAGGTGTTTAGGTTAGTTTATGCGCAACTTGATTAACTCTGCTGGGCCAGTCAAAGACAAGTTATTTATGTTGGGATTAAGGTATTAATAAAAAATAAATTTTTTGTAGCCTGATTTTAAAGAGTTATTAAAATTTAAATTCATGACGTTTGAGTGTACGTCATATCTGAGTTTATATATAGTAATAAGTCTTCATCGGTTTAATGTTGTCTTTCTAAGGATATTTTTTTATGAATTTGGTCTTTTCTCAAGAAGAATTGCTTAGTCTACTAGTGGAACAAGGTCCCAAACCTCTCAACCGACATACGATAAGGCATGACACACCTTCAAGTCTTACACCACTAAAACGTCGTTTTGTCCATGGGTTTTTTGAGCCCATCAAGATTGTGCATCATTTGGACTACTCGATTCCATGTAGTTATTTTTCATTTGGGGTTAAGGAAAAAAAATGATAGAAAGTAAAGTGAAAAAAAAAATAATAATAAAAAAATATATTTTAATACATATATTTGGTTAGAATAAAAATTTTACGAGAAAGTTTTAAAAGAAATTTATTCTATTGTTTGAAAGAAAAAAAAAGTTATAAGAAATTTTTTATAATTGTCAAAACAAACTTTAATTATATTAAATCAGTCTAAAAAGAAAAAAATTATATAATTATAATTGAAAGTTAAAAAATTTTAAAAAAGTGACTCAAAACCTAATTTTAGTATAATCATCAACACAAGTGTCTTTAGGTCAAATTATATGATTAATCAAATTCATACCAAAAATTTTTAAAATTAGTAACTAATAAAATATTTTAAGAAAAATAAGGGTAAAATAAGAAGTTAGTTATAGATCACAACTTTCTTACATTTCCTTGAGTTTTTTACAAGAAAAAAAAGTTGGTTATTTGTGAGAAAATTCAAACATGAAAGAAAATTAATTTTTTTATCATTTTCCTTTTTATGCTAATCAATCACATAAAAATTTTAATTTTAATTTTTTTTTTTACATTTTCTACCGATCTCTCGCTAAACAAACGAATCATAAAAGGAAAATGAGAGAAAAATAAGCGTATGAAGTTCAATAGAGTGGATGTCCTACATTACTTGTAACTCCAGCAGGGAATAAGAAGCTAGCACTCCAGGGACAATGAACGGTCTTAAATTTAAGGGGTATATTTTATGTACATCCCCTAACATTTGGTTTTATTACATTGACATCCTTTCACATTTTAAAAATTTCACTGAGACCCCTTTACATTTAAACACTTATAACAACCAAATTGCTTGGATCACAACTAAATATTTTATAAAAGATTTTTTCTATTGGAGCGTTGTATGCGCCAATTGCCATCTTATAAGCTAGTCGAGGAAATACAAAAAATTGAAAAACAATAATGATAATCCATTGAACTATCGTCTCAATTTTAATTGGTCTTCTAATTATGTATGTGACTAACAACATTATGAGAAGTGGTTCATGTCGTATTATTATAGGTTTGTTTTGAACCTTAATCAATTCTAAAATGAAACCTGAATTGATCATTGACTGTCAAATTCGAATCGATACGATGTCATTCTCTCTCAACTAAACAAACTTATTAATTATTGACACCCATTAAAATAAAAAAATTTTGTGTTAATATTTTTTGATGGACTCGTTTACGTGTTTCTCGATTAATCCTTTCTTCAATCTGATCAAAAATATATTTGATTATAAATTCTAATGTGACAGATATATATCTGCACAGACCAATCAAATAATTAATATATTCAAAATGATTGAATTTATAATTCATTTCAATTACTACTTAAATTATCTGTAATATTTGTCGTTGATGGTAAGCCCCCACACAACACAACCATTCGTCACGATTTTATCCTGTACTGTCGGAAATCAGGACATTCAGCATTGAACACTACAAAGGAATTTCTCAATCATGTGGACCCCATGTGATACGAACTTCTCCCTCTATATCCACCGTTCAATGGTAATTTCTGTGCTTTTACATACAATTAGATGATAAATCAACGGCTGTAAGAAACAGTTGGCTGATTTCAGGTAGATATTGCTCATCACCCACTATCATCTCCCTCATAGAAAGCTACTAGCATTGCCTTTCGCCTTTTTTCTCGCACGTTGCACCATTGGAGGTTCTGGTTTGCCTCACCTCGATAGATCCAGATTTCGACAATCCACAGAGAGAGAGAGAGATATGGAAGTAGAGAGGAGAGTTGGTGTGGCCGTTGATTTCTCAGTATGCAGCAAGAAGGCGCTTAAATGGGCCGTGGATAACGTTGCCCGGAAAGGGGATCACCTTATCCTGGTTGCCATACTCCCCGAAGGCAATTATGAGGAGGGAGAGATGCAGCTCTGGGGGGCCGCCGGTTCTCGTATGATCTCTTTCATTCTCTCTCTCTCTCTCTACCCCCCTTCTAAATTTGTATAAGTGCTGTATGTATGTGTATTATGTGTGTTTATGTTCTTCTAAATTGTTATTTTTGTCTGCTTGGTGAGGTTGATATTGATATGACTAAAAGGGTCAATGTAAAGTTCTAGTATGTAGGATTGTTGAACGAGTATAACGGTTTGGATAGCACTATGAAAAGAGATACTATACACACACACAACAAAAACAATTTTTAATATGGATTTTGAGGAGAATAAGCCAAAAATGGTAGTGGAGTAATAAATTTAATGGCACACACATGTTGCTGCTGATGGAAAACTTACAATCTTTTGAGGGTCATACAACATGGGTTTGTGTTGTTCTCTTAATTTATCAGTTATTGGTACATGTTCATTTATGGCAATTGTCAAGATATAGTTTGGACATATTGTCATTGGTTGCATCCTGTCCTGCTTATGTGTTGATGATTATAGTTTTTTGTTAGGTGTTGATGATGTAGATTACTAATGATGAAATCACATGAAGATGAATGAACATTTAGACAGCATCATCTAACCGCGTAGCCCTTACTTATGAGACTTTACTGGATTGATTGCCACCAATGACAAGCGATACTGTGAGGTGGCTTTAAGCACTTGTTCATCAGTTATAGGTCATAAGTGTACCTTTGTTTTCAAACTTAATTGAGTTAATGCTTTTTGATCTAGAGTTTGGTAACAGACTATAGCAGTTTGTCTACACAGTCCTCTGCTTTTAGGAATTGTTGGTACATTTATCTAATTGATTTTTTTTTTTTTTGACAGCTTTAATCCCTTTAATTGAGTTCTCTGATCCCCACGTCATGAAGAAATATGGGGTGAAACCTGACCCCGAAACATTGGACATTGTCACTATAGCATCTCAGCAGAAAGAGGTAATTGGATTCCTGACCTTTAAAGTTCCTCAAGAAATGTATTTTGTGCAATTGTCGTAAATATTTGTTCATGTCTGTGAGAGCAGATTGAGGTGCTGTTGAAAATATACTGGGGTGATGCTCGGGAGAAGATATGTGAAGCGGTTGATAAGACTCCCCTTGACTGCATTATTATAGGGAACAGAGGGCTTGGCAAGATCAAGAGGTTCAACTCTTTCTAGATTTTCTTTTGGTTATGAAGGGATTTCTTACTTTGTGATGCTTTGTCAATATAGTTTTTGGTCTGTCTCTCTTTTTTTTGTTTGACACTTTTGCCAAAGCTGTGGATGCTTGTACTGAAGTCATTTTAAGAACTTGTGTTATAAGGTCTCAAATAGGCTATGATTGAGGTCTTGACCTGGGCATATTACCAGTTGGGACTAATCAATATTGATTTTGTTTTATTTTATATCTGCAGGGCTATCTTGGGCAGTGTTAGCAACTATGTGGTGAATAATGCTTCTTGTCCTGTTACTGTGGTGAAGCATGTGGATCATGAATAGTAATTCGCCCAATATATGTCGCAACTCAACTCCCCTCGTTGTATAAAAACCTCTTATCTTATGGGCTTTAGAGTGTGTATGAATTAAATAATCCAGCTATTTGTTGCTTAGTGATGAATCTTGATTGATGTTTGTGTGTATATTGGTGGAAGTTTTTACTGGTGTATGTTGTTGTGTATGCTAAACTCACTACCCATGGTGGTTATTTGTTCCTGTATCCCTGGACTGATGAGGGAATAAAATTTTGTAGACTACCTCAAATTCGAAGCAACTCTAAAGCATATTGGTTGATGTTGGGCTTTGGAATTAGTAAAATGTTATGTTGATTCTGAATACGTTTTACCTGTTATACCGTCTCTTTTAAAGTTGGTGAGCTTGATTTGTGTTTCTTGTCTGTCCTCCGGTGTGTCTGGGAGATCCTCTCAAATATGCTTGTGTATTGAGGGCTGGCATGCTGTTCTGCAACAGATATCTGGAGGAAAATTGAGTAGTCTTCAATTTGAAACTTTACAACACTGAAATTTCATGATAAGCAGATGTTCTTTAGTATCTCTTCTGATGTTGTAAACTTGGTGTATGAATTTGCTGTGCACAAATGCATCACTTGCCCCAATTTTTTTTTGTTTTTAAAATGCAATGTTTTCTGGGGGGTTTCAAATCTATGAGAACATTGTCTCCTCCAAATACATAGTATAGATGATCTAGATTTTTAAGAAATATAGTACTGGAAAGGATTCAAATCGAAGTTTAGGGATGAGGTGCTTGGGAACTAATTCAGAGCATAGCCAAAATAGGTGAAACAAACCTCAAAACAGTTACTAAACAAAGGACTCGTTTCAAAGGTCATCCTCTTTTCATTGATAACTGCTTGTTTTGAATGGTAACTAACCAAATTCCCCCTCCCAACTGTTCTCCTATTTTTCACCTTCACTCTCATCCCATTTTGTTTGCCTTTCTCCAATTCTACAAGCATACAATGGAATCTCATTATTATCATACACTGTTCTTCATTTCTTTCTTCTCTCTCATCATCTTCAATCCTTCTCATTCCATATATGGGCAGCACAGTTCTTCAGAACCTTCCCTGCCTCTAGATACTCCTCCAAACTTGCAGCCTGTGTCCTCCCCCGGACCACAGCCCGAGCTTTCGCCAACACCAACACCAACATTAGCCCCTTCATCTGAACACCCTCCCGTGTCTGTCCCACCATCCACCAACATCGATCCCACAATCGAAAAAATCTGTGCGTCAACAGACTATCCTGATCTCTGCCTCTCCACAGTCACTCCCTTGCTAAAAGGCAAGAATGACATTGTGTCCGTGCTTGAAGTGGCAATAAAAGCCAGTACTAACTCAACAAATTTGGGTCTGATCATGGCCAAAAAACTGGCTAACATGCCTGGAAATACTCCTGAAATGGTCTCAATCCTCAACGATTGCACGAATAGTTATGACACCGCTTTGTACAATTTTCGGAATGCAATGGATGCATTCCCCGGTCGTGACATTGGCACAATGAATACAATGCTTAGCGCTGTTATAACCAATGTTGGCGATTGCGAGGACGGGCTTTCTGGAATGGATTCTCCATTGTCTAATTGTGCTGACAAGGTTATAAAGATGACTAGCAACTGCCTTGCCATTATTTCCTTGATCCACTGATCTATGGTATTTTGTGGGATTTTCTATGTATTGATCATCATAACGTACTATTTTTGGTTGTTGTCTCTGTGTATGAGATTGAGAACAGCAAGAAAAGAGAGTGCTGAGAAGTTTGTAGGAATGCAAAGGAAGGTTAACTTGTAGTATGATCGATAGAATGATTCTTCTGTAATCAAAGCCAACAGATTGTGTTTTGCCTTGTTGGTCGTGGGTTTGAGGTAGTTATGTATTAAATAACAGTAAAATTTGTGCGAATATACGAAATTTATAACATGTTTTTTTATTTATTTGATTCTTTGTTTTTCTTCCTCTGTAACCCATCATTCGACACATTAGCGAGTTATAAAAGTTTTATGGTGATTAGAAGTTAATTTTAATTAAATTTAAATAAACAATGGTTGGTTAGTTGGGAAATGAATGGGGTGAACTTATATTTTGTTGGTCTCAGGATTTGCTTGTTGGGATTTCTCCGATTTAAATCCACTAACAAACACACACAATCGAAGAACAAATCAAGAATATAAAGCAATAAGAAACAAGAAAGAACAAGACACAGATTTTACGTGGTTCGGCAATTTGCCTACGTCCACGAAGCTGCAGGGATTTCACTATTGAGAGAGTTGAATACAGAGAGCGGCTGTACCATACACGATTAACCCTAATCACCAAAACAACAGGGTTTATATGTCCTATCGGCCCAAGCCTTCGCTCCATGGACTAAGCCTCAGAAAATTTTCCATTAAAAATCACACAACATTATTTCGGGATCGGGTCATCATCCGGATCACATATACAAACTAGACTCCATAAAAATAAACCAACATTGCTCACCGAGATGGATGGCTAGAATGGTGACCTGGCCTCCGGCAGGAACCTTCTTGCAAGGAATTCCGGCGGTCAATCATTCGATGGTAAAGTCAGGAAGAATGATGAAAAAAAATTGTATTTAACGGGGAATGAATTATTTAATTGGATGATGCATAACTCAACTTTTTTATAGGTTAAGAGATTGTACCGTTGGACAATTTTCAACAATTATTTGAATGAAATAACACTAAAAGTAGAACAGAAATTAATGTTTTCTAACGTAGATATCTCAACTAGTTTGAATTAGTCAAGACGAGCCGAGTTGTTGAACTAGAGATTTTGGCGAGTAGGGAGCCAAGGTGCAGAGCTCACGAGCTAAGCTCGTGCCCACATGTTCAAACTCGTGCCAATTTTATTCATTATCATATTTTAATAATACAAAATTCTAAGAAATTAGCAAATAGGAAAGTGAAGGCTTGTCACGCTGTTCCACTATAAAATTGATTGTGTTTTGGCAATGGCTTCCTACGATAAATTCTTAGTTATTTGTATCCTTACCCATTTGTTGGTTGTTGGACCGGAAAAGTGAGGATTGAATAATGTAATCCGGCTGAGTCCTTAATGGATGGACAAATCACGAGATATTTTATGATCCTTTGAGTGTGTAAATGTGTAATCCGATTGCGTATTTATATTCTTCACTAACGGATAATTCACTATCTCGCATCTCTGCATTATAATATCACTTTTCACCTAGAATTGAAAATTATTTGTTAAGAATCCGCATGAGTTGATTCAGTAGTCAAATAAAAGACACGTGACGTAGTTGTTCACGTCCTGAGATCAAGTTTTTTCTAATTGCATAAAAATCGAACTCATGTCCGTACATGTGTGTTTAAAGATTATATTACAATCATAATTCTAAAAGACACGTGATTAAAATGATTATTGATTATTAAAAAACTCAGCCACAAAGAAGAATTGAACATTGTTGTAATATACGCTTCACATACAATCCGATGCAACTCAAGCGAAGATGGGATAGTCTTAGTAGTTTAATATCAGTAAATTTAATGGAATTTTTATTTTTTTTTGGTCATGAAATTTAATAGAATGAAGATATGGATGTCAATATTTGTGGATGAGGATAGGCCCACCCCAAAAAGATTTGAGGCCGGCCCACTATCATTTGCTAAACGCAAGGGCCTGCAGGATAAGTCTAGCCCACTAAAATTTAAGTCAACACTGGTGGGCCCAACAACAACCACAACTTTGACGGCTACTGAGACTCGACCTAAATCCACCAATAAAAAAACGACACGTAATCAGATATTTCGTGTCCATCTGTAGCCTTAAATATGTATCTCTCTCCCCCCTCTTCATATATGTATCGATCCCCTTCTTCAATTTGCATTTGTATATAATACTAAATACAGAGAGTGGTGGAGGTGGTGGTGGTGAGAGGGAGTGATTAGACGCGGTTTGATCTACCTAAGAGCTGCGGAAATGGCGGAAGAAAAGTACAATCGGAAGAACCCAGCGGTGAAGAGGATATTGCAGGAGGTGAAGGAGATGCAATCGAACCCCTCCGATGATTTCATGAGCCTCCCCCTCGAGGTTTCCTTTCGATTCCCTTTCTGAAAGTGAAAATTTTCTGTTAATTGTACTTTATTCAGCTGGTTTTGGTTAAGATTTTATTCGAACATCTGTTTAGATTCTTCTTAAATTCATCTCCTGCTTTATTTTTAGCTGTTCTATTCACAAGGATGATGATGGATGAAATTTTACTATATTGAGATTATTTTAGGTTATTAAGGTTCTTGATTTAAATCTCAATTATGTTTTGACCATTAGATTTGCGATTAATTATTAAAAGATGCTGATTTTTGAGGGCTTCTTGTTAACAATTGCTTTCTTATTACATTCAATCAAAATTATTTCATTAAATCTACTGTGTTTTTAAAGCGGCAGGCCAAGGTTAATTTGTACCTTTTCCACGTTTTGAATGCGTCGTATTTGTACGCAGTTGTTATGGCACTATATGTTTGTTTTTCTTTATAAAAAAAAGGGGAAAAGAATTTTTTGTGTCTATAGCAGTATTGTGACTATGGCTTCCTGCATCTGCATCATGAAGAGTGTCTTCGCTAGTTTGCTATATCTCTATACTAGTAGTGTTCACCTGTGCATGGACAGTTATCCAATAAATAGATAATGGCTTCAATGAGATTAAACCTTGTAATAGATATAACATAAAACAATAAAATATTTATACATATACACTCATGTATAAGAAGAAAACAATCCATGCTTGAAAAATGAAGAATGTGTCTGAACAGATACACATGAAAATTCAACAGTAAAATGGGATCTAGAAGAAATAGTTCTAGGCAGGAAAACCCACCCCTAAAAAATTATGGACAAAAAAAATCCTACAGATTGCTTGAGAGACGCTGGATTCTCGACATCTCAGATAGAACATTCTTGGGTGCCTTCTTGTAAAGGAAAGTCAAATAACCTCAGAAAATATGGCCCCTAAAACTCATATACATAGAATACCTGAGAGGACACAGCTTGACTAAAAATGTCACTACTGCTCAGAACCTATAGTTGGAAAAAAAAAAAAGCACAGAAAAAATAATCCAAAAAACCATTAAAATAAAATCTGTTTTACTAAACAATTGGGAAAAAAATTGCTTGAGTGCTAGATTATCTCTCAGATAAATCATCAAAAAGAAAATGGATTTAAACATTTCATTCGAAACCGTGAAGGAGATATCAGTAAAGCCCTGCTATTCTTGGGTTTACCAAGAGCTTTGAATTGCTAAAATCAATTGGAGTTGATATTACAATGATTGGAGAAAAAGATTTCCTACAAAATGATTTAATTGTCTTTGATTTGAAACTCTCTCTGCCAAACACTTTGATAGGAATGAAAGAGTTTTCACTAATCTTCTCTAAATTCTTCATCTCTGTGTACCAATTTAATCCAATGCGGGTATAGCAGTTGGAGATAAAGTTGGTATCAGTAGTTGATCCGTAGGAGTCAGTGGAACAATTCAATGTGGGAGTCAAGATTAATTTAGGAAACAAAGAGGGAAGATTGCTCAATTACCCTCACAATGAAATTGTTTGCTTTATATATATAGATAGATACGATACGACAGATTCTTCACATGGGATGACTGTTTGGCTTTGTTTTTTGGGCATTGGTATGACTAGAAGATCCTTTTATGAATGCTCAGGCTGAATCGTTTGAAGGGTCACATACTCATTTTGATAGCTTGAGCACAAAGAATTTCAACAGCACAGCTAAATTTTCTACCATTCTGTATGCAAATTAGATCGGCATTAACTATGAAAAGCTCATTTTTTAGCCCTTTCTTTTATATACTTTGGGGTTGGAGGCTTAGCTATGTAATACCTACCTACAGATTGTGATCATGTCTATTTGAATCACTTGTTTCTTTTTTCTTTTACTTGTTCTATAAGGAAAACATATTGGATTATTTTCCCCTTGTTACCTTATTACCCTTGTCCAGTACACTTGATAATTTAACGTGCACGATGATGGAAATTCTCTTTCTCTCTCTCTCAGAGGCTTGAATCTACTTTTTGTTTTTTCTTTTCCTGTTAGTTAGTTATTTTTTTCCCCTTTCAGAAGCTTGAAGCTTTTAAGTTATATTGGCAGGAGAATATATTCGAATGGCAATTTGCAATCAGGGGACCCTGTGATACTGAGTTTGAGGGAGGCATTTATCATGGACGTATCCAATTGCCTGCGGAATACCCCTTCAAGCCTCCTTCATTTATGTTGTTGACGGTACGATCTGATTTCTTTTTGAGGGTTTTGGTTTTTTGTTGTGGTATATATGGTTTTTCATGGTGTGAGTATTTCCTATATTTACTGATATTCGGGAGGGTGGGTGCTATACATCAATCTCCATAGCTGTTTTACTCTGATCTGCTAACCTTATTTTAATTCCGTTTCCAGCCGAATGGCCGTTTTGAGACCCAAACAAAGATATGCTTGAGTATATCAAATCATCATCCTGAGCACTGGCAGCCTTCATGGAGTGGTAATTTATTTTCTTCTTGACATTATGAGTAAAGGCAGGAAAAACAACTTGCCATTTTTGATAATTTCTAGTAAAGCGATAGCATATTTACCAGCAATATCTCTGGAGATGGTTGTTTCATGACCATTATTGTTAGCTTAGCTGAGGCTTTCAAAGCAAACAAAATAGTTCTGGCAGTTGTTCCTCCTATTTGACCTAAGATGAGATGAGTTTGTTTTATGATTATTTAAAACTTACAAATTGACGAGCTCTGCACATAATTCTTGACTATTTTTAGTCGAGTATTTTCTAGACCAATAGAAAAATGTACTGAAATATTTTCAACTGATGAACATGTGTATTTCCACGAACTTGTTTGTTCTTACTACATTACAACTTTGGATGTTTTTCTTTGGGTCTGAAATATAACACAACTTGGATGTTAGAAACTGTATTTTTTAACTTTGTTTTGTCATAATTCCAAGTTTTTGATCGAATATTGAACATTATTTTAGATTTAGTCTTCATAAATCGTGCGTCTGCATGAGAACAGAGTTTATACCTGTTAGCGTGTTTGTGAGAGATTGAGGATGGTCAATTAGGATATATTACTATATATTGGCCAATAACAATACTATGAACTGAAGCATATGCGGACTGCTGAACATTATGTAAAATTCTATTTGGATTGTGTTGACATTTTCAGTAATGTTTATTGGATTTAAAAAACAGGGTGGTAAATTGAAGTATACCATATGCATATGTGCTTGCATTGGGTAGTCATGTTTTATATAGATGGATATTGTAAGAGGAAAAGTGTAGGAGTTGGGACAAGCCTCTTGGGTAGCACGTGAGTTCCTGGAACTCTTGCTGTGAGACAAATTTGTTAATTGTTCCTGCACAGCTTCATTAGTTCTTTTTATGGTATGATTAATCTTATAAATGAACTTCAAAGGCATGCAGTTTTGTGTGAAGATATTCCATGCCATGAATATATAGATTATGACCAAAATTTTCACCCTGATGACATATCTCGCTGTTGCAGTTCGGACTGCTTTGACAGCACTAATCGCCTTTATGCCCACCGACCCAAATGGTGCTTTGGGCTCATTGGACTATAAAAAAGAAGAAAGGCGTGCTCTGGCAAATAAATCTCGTGAAGCTGCTCCTAGATTCGGGACTTCTGAACGTCAACAGCTAATTGATGAGGTTTCTTATGGCCCAACTTCCCCTCCCAGTTATTCCTTCACCACATGTAAGATTCATTCTAACCATCTGTTCCAATTTTTCAGATTCATGAATACATGCTGAGAAAGGCACCCCCAGTTCCTCAACTCAGCCCCTCACAGACTCCTGAAGAACAATCTACCCATCGAGATGCAGCGGATGCTGAAGTCCAGGTGAGTCCTCAGAATGCCACCACAGAATCTGCTGGAGAGGAACTTCCGAATCTAGCTGAAGGTGACAGGATTGTTGAAGAACTGCAAGAAGTTCCTCTGAATGCAAATCCCAGCCCTGCAGGAATTAGGATATCGAGAGAGGTTCCTGCTGGACACTCAAGAGGGCAGCAGCTGCCGCAGAGGCCAGAATTGAGGATTCAAAAACCGGCTGATGATCGCCTTTTCACATGGGCTGCTGTTGGGCTTACCATTGCTATAGCTGTTCTTCTGTTGAAGAAGTTTATGAAAGCTAGTGGACATGGTGCTGTTTTCATGGACGGATCATAAATCTTAGTGGTAAGCAAACCGACGAATTTGCTTAGTAGATTCGGTAAGTCGGTACTAAATTGTCCGGTGGGTGGTATAGTTTGTAATATATCCGTCAGTTATTCTTCACCTATTTATAGCGACGGAAGAGCGTGTTTAATCAGTTTGTTTCTTGGACTTGTATGAGATTGGTACAGTAAACATTGGAATGAAAGCGGCAAAAGTTCCAAGAACTGTAAAAGAAATTACTCATTTTACTTGTTCTTCAGTTAAGTGATGGGTCATGTCAGTATTTGTTAATAGATATAAACTTAGCCACCAGATGGGTTTGCATTTTCCAAAAGTTGTGCAACTTCTTCTTGGTTACAGAGGCAATCTTTGCCAACCAATGAGGATGTTCTTCTCTTGATTTCGATTGAGTTATATGTGAATGCGATATAAGTGATGGACTTGTTATCATTTTGATATTCCAATTGAGACTCCATGATGAATGGACCGAGCCGACGGACTCAAATCCGGTATGGGTCCGAGCCAGCAGACTCATATCTAGTATGGATCCAAACAGGGAAAATCAAATCCGGGAAACTCAAAGCAATAGATGACCTCTTTCATGTTTATTTCATCTTTTTTAGGAAATGAAACTCAATTATTTGTACACGAAAATAGAAGAATCAATCATTTTAAAATTTTAAGATACTGTTTGGGAAAAATGCCACAAAGCCCAATTGTGAATTTTGATTCCAAAGTTTTTCTATAATTTTAATTGTGTCAATTCAATTGTAAAATTTCACAGAAAAATGATACATAATTACCATAACAAATTGACACGTCTAATTCAGTTATATGGTTACATTTTCACATATAAATTTACAATCAAAACCATTTAATGATAATAAAGTCGACATCAATAGAATAAAACAGAGGGTCCTATTTAGATTTAACGATTATATTTTATCCCTTTAATCACGAAAAATCTGTCTTTTTTTTGGTTAGAATAAATTTGTCTGTTTACATTTGACCTTGTAATTATAATAAATATTTTGATCATACTTATTTTTTATTAACCACAAGAAAAAATTTAATTACCCAATAATATTTAAACTACTCTAGTAGTTAAAAATATGATACCAACTAAGAGAAGGCTATAATACCGAAAAAATATTGTGCTATTGTACCACTATGTACAAATTTTGTGAGTTTTTATAAATTTTGGGGATCATTTACAATTTTTTGATAGCTAGGGATCAATGGATCCTAAAAAATTATAAATGACCATTATAACTTAAACCATAAAAATTATAATTTTTTTATTATAAATATATCTAAAAATATATATCTCAACCAACAAAATTTATAAAATTTGAGCCATAGGCTGCTTCTTTTGACAACTATAAAATGTGGAGGCAAGGTAAGGTTTCTTTTAGGACTCTTATTATGGCAATTTAGGTGAGACTATATATTAGGATAGTCTCACTTTACACTTTCAAAGATTTTTTTATTTTTAATTTGTGCTCTTATGAATTGATAGTAACATAGATCTCGCATAAACTATGATCATTTTTTGTCATAAATTGAAGCACATGACTTTCAATTCTTCGTGTATGGGTATATATGTAAATTGACATACTGTTAATGCTTCATGTAAATTGCATGGGATAAAATTAGTCTCTGTCTAATTAATAAAACTTATTTTATACACAAAATAGTGTCAAATTAATTATAAATAAAACGACGCGTCCTTCAAATTACCACCCAGTCACCTTCGACTCTCCTGACATCAAAACCCAAGTGTGTTTGCTGTAGCTTTGCGAACCTGTCTTTCTCAATTTCTCAAAGCTTTATGAAGACACAGGTTGTCAACCATGGAAGCTTCCAGGTCACCCTGCTTTTCTTAGTACATAGTTTTCTTCTCTCTCTGTTTTTAGTGGAAGATATTCGTATTGCAATGTTCCTTACTTTGTCTTATTGCATTGCATGTCTATTACCCAGCCTTTCTTATTTAATTGAATACCACGGATTTGTTCTTGCTTAATTTTCATGTTTCAACCCCTGTTTGGTTGCCCTGAAAACCAAACGGAAAGGTTTCTTAATGTTGGAAAACGCACACCATTATGTGAGACATTGCATAATGTTCATTTAGATGTAAATTTCTTTGTGAAGATATGTTATGAATCCATGGATAGAGCTAGTCCTTGAAAATCGACTTGCAACTTATTTTTAGTCAATGTGGGATCCTAACATTCCACCACGCTTTTGTAACTAACGTCCACAACAGCCCACTTGGCCTTTCTTTTTTACGGCTTCACTCGCCTATTAATATTCAATAAGATAACATTATGACCATTTATAATACAAAGTCATATTAATCCAGCCTATAGGTTGTCTCTTTCGTGACTCGACCACAAAGAGCCGCAGCTCACAGTGTGTTCAATCCTATACTCGACGTGATAGTTAACTTTGATACTAATTGTTATGAAGCCATGAGTAGAATTTGCTCCTCAAAATTGCCTTTTGTAACTAAGGGAATAATGCTCAAGAGTTTATGTACACACATCTTATCTTATTTTTAATCGATGTGAGATCGTATCAAGATATGGGTAAAGACTAAGAGTTACTTTTCTATACTGTCCATATCAGAATTTATTACAAAATAAGGGTTGGGGTACAATTCATTCAGGTGGGCTTGCAACAAAATATGTTGTGTTGGAATCGATCATAACCTTTTAGGATTAATTTTAACTTTTTTTGTAGCAGTAGTAACTAGATCTCAAAGTAACTTGGCCCAAATAAGTTAAAACTAGTCTTTTTTTCAATCGTAATTTTTGGTACGGTACCTCCTTCGTATTGTAGTCTTACCCAAGTGCCCAACTTGTTTCTCACACTCTTTCCTAATTTTTTTTTTGTTCAATAGTCAAAGGCACACTATTCACGCCGGGACTAGAGTATTTATAAAGGATAAATCCTCATGGCCTGATCCTAGGAGTTGCTAAGATTCAAACTCAGGACATCTAAATTTACAATTCGTTCTTATTACCACTTGAAGTATTCTTCAAGATTACACTCTTTCCTACTTTTGCTTGGCAATGAAAAAAGACATTAGTTTGTGTACCATTGTTGGCTGCATTTCTTAGAATATTTTCACTGAGAAGTTATGCATAATATGTCAATTGGATCCTGGTCCGTCAATAGCAGTTTGGATTTCATCGGCGTTTGCGCCATTTAGGTATATCAAAAAGAATCATATAATATATCCTATTTAGATTATGTATAATTGCTTGACATGTTTTAGGCTGAACGATAATATCAAGCACCTTTATCGTCACTATCAGAAAGCTATTTATGGTAACTTAATTCAAAGCCTTTGTGCTCTTGTGAAAATAGGAAACTGATATATCGATAATATTACTAGAATATAACTTCAAGAATTGAAGAACTGTCTTTTGTTGTAAACCATTTGTGGCAATTTTTTTTGTGAGGTGATGAGCAAAATGTTCTCTTTAGAGGAGAACTTTGATATTGATTGTCTTCTAGACACATATGGTTCTTCTAAGGATTTTGACAGTGCTGTAGGAGGGAACATTGCAAAGCAAACTCATTTGCATGAAACAGAAGACTTGGGGAAGTCAGGAGACATCAATTCGTTATGTTCTGGCCACAGGTTGTATCAACAAAATATAGCTGAGGAAGAACTGCTGCTGTCTACATATCAACAAGAGCAACAACTACAATTGTTTTCTCATTTTCGTACTTTAGATGATTTATATTTGGATATCGTTTCTCCACCATTTCAATTGTCTGGCAAAGAAATTTCAAAGGTTGTTAGCTTTCAATCTGAAGATCTGAAGGTTATCAAATCAAAGAAGGAAAAGGCAATAATATCTCCTTCGGCATCACTTAAGATTCTGAAGAACTATGGAAACAGGTTCCAACGCTTGAATGGAGAAAAGATAAATTTGCCAGGTAACGATATTGTGAGTACTAAGGTGAGTGACCAAAAATTATCAGCTGGTGCAATTATAAGGTTAGCTGGAGAAAAGTTCATCCAATCTTGTTCCCAAATGGTTGATGAAGTCTTAGTTGTTGACCATTCATATCCCAATTCATTTTTGGGCTTATCTGATGAGGAGATGAAAGATGTGGAACTTTTACAGTGTCTTCTAGCTTCAGCTGAGAAAGTAGCCCAACAACAGTTTGATCGTGCAAGCAAGGACCTCAACCAGTGCGATGACTCGTCCTCTGATAAAGGTACTCCCATTCAGAGATTAGTATACTATTTTTCTGAAGCCCTTCGAGAGAAGATCGATCGAGAAACAGGAAAAGTCACATTAAAGGGTTTGGGAAAGAAATGGTTATTAGAGCTTGAAGAGGCAATGATGAGCCCAAACCCCACTTGCATTTCTGTTTACCAAAATGTGCCATTTGTTCAGGTTAGCGTATTCACTGGTGTGCAAACTGTAGTTGACAATGTAGCAAAGGCAAGAAAGGTCCATGTAATATACCTGGAGATCAGGGGAGGGATGCACTGTACAGTGTTAATGTCCACTCTTGCAGCTCGACGCGAATATCCCCTTGAGCATCTCAAGATAACTGCTATTGGAACTCGATCAAAACCAAAAATTGTGGAGACTGGTAAGCGGTTGATAAGTTTTGCCCAATCCATTAACTTATCATTCTCTTTCAAAATAGTTATGGTAGCAGACATGCTAGATCTCAATGAGGACCTCTTTGAGTTGGATTATGAGGAAGTAGTAGTTGTCTACTCACCATATCTGTTAAGGACCATGATTTCGTGGCCAGATCGACTGGAGTGTTTGATGAAAGTGATGAGAAATATTAATCCTTGTGTGATGGTGGTCATAGAGAGTGAAGCAAACCATAATTCACCAAGTTTTGTAAAACGTTTCATTGAAGCTGTTTTTTTTTATGGTGCATTTTTTGATTCATTGGAAGACTGCATGTGTCATGATGAACAAAATAGAATGATCGCAGAATCAATGTACTTTAGCCCAGCAATTCGAAACATTGTGGCAGCTGAAGGAGAGGAGAGGACAATGCGGCACGTGAATTTTAACGTCTGGAGGGATTTTTTTGCCAGATTTGGGATGGTGGAGATGGATCTGAGCATGTTATCCTTGAATCAAGCAGATATGATGCTTAAGGACTTTGCTTGTGGCAGTTCTTGCACACTTGATTTGGATGGGAAAAGCCTAATAATTGGGTGGAAAGGAACACCAATCCATTCTTTTTCTGCTTGGAAATTCCTATGACCAGAAGGATTGAAGGAGTTATTTGAAATTTGCATTCAAGTCTTCGATTGAGTCGACTTTCTCTGAAATCTGTATGTAGTTATCTTATGAACTCTCTACACATGCGGCTGTACAGTTCAGCTTCATATTACAAATACAATTAACTTGATATCAACACTATCTTATGTGGAATTCAGCACTTTTTTCAATTATCCTGTTTCTAGTAACAAAAACTCCCATCCATTTTGGAAAGAGAATTACTTCATCCCCTTCACAATCTATGAAAATTAAAGAGAGATCGGTTTTCTTGAAAATTATGCATGCTCAGATAGATGGGAGTAGAAAGGGAAATCAATCGAATGTCAGAGAAGTGATGGGTTTTATGTGATGGAATCTGCTTGGTGTTTTCACAGGTGCTGGTGGTCGTTAGTGTGGTGTTTGGTATATGGCTATGGAGGTGAGTGGGTGGTGATAGAATTTTATTTTTATTCTCAAACATCAAGATTGTGATCTAGCCAACCCCAAATGATTGGGACATAAATCGTGGTTTGATTTGGTTTTGTTTGGTTATCAAGATTGTGATTTCATTGCTTTGCAAGGTTCTATAGTTATGTATTTTGTTCTAGTGTCTTTATAATTTGGCAATGTATATAATGATGGACGATCTAATTTTTATCTACTTTGATCTAATAGAACAAAATTTATCACAAATTTTTTCTCTCGTTCAAAAGCACCATATGTTATACAGAGTTCTCAATGTCAGACAATTCAATCAATACACACTCTAATGCTAAATAATTCCACTAATTTATACTTACCTCTTTCTTCTCCTTTCCCGATCTCTCTCATTTTTTTTTTGTTTATTTTAATTTTAAATTATATAATTATGTACATATTGTTGATTCATGTATAATCTATATATCTGAGTTTTCTTAATATATACTCAACTTATTTACAATGGTGTATAGTTATGTACATGTCGTGTGTGATTCGTGTATAATCTACGTATCTGAGTTTACTTAATATATACCCATCTTATTTATAATGGTGTATAGTTATGTATATGCCGTGTGTGATTCGTGTTGCTTATAATCTGGGTTTGATGGGTTTGTATCTGACCTATTTATTTGGCAAATCTAATGATACCATCTCCTTCCGTCAAAATTTATTTATTCTTTATTGATTTTGTATTGGATTCGCAGGAGAGGACAAAAAACAAGAGGTGACCTGCAAGGACCCAGTCATATTCCAGCTTCCTTCATGACATCAAAACCCAAGTGGGTTTGCTGTAGAGCAATGAAAGACAAACCAGTCGTCCTCAGAGCTTAGTGAAGACAAAAGTGTAAAACAATGAACAACCCTTAATCAAATTCCAGCTCATTGTGTACTTATTATCTTCTAGTGTATTGGTTTCTTCTCTGTTACTGTCTTTATTAGAAGGCATGCTTTGTACAAGACAATGTCTGTTACGTAACCTTTCTTTTTTTTAATTGGATACTCTGTCTGTTCTTGCTTAATCTGACTTATATATTAATCTTTCTTCTTTGTAATGTTCATTACATGGGACAAAGGAAAAACAATGCAATGTTCTTGCTTAATCTGTAATTTTAACTCTTTGCTTGGTTGCCTAGAAACTAAAGTGAAAAAGAGGAAGAAAACCAAAACATTGTTGTGTCTTGATGGAAACCTTATGCCATTATGCGGAGAATATTGTCCTTTTTTCGAATGTAAAATGGGAATCACTATTATAACAAAGAATTATAATGTCTGATAAATACTCACGATTATGAAGAGCCATGCATCTATATCATTAGTAGAGAAGAAAACACCCAAAGAGGACCGGAGAGAATCGCAAAAAGAAAATGTTGGTCAATATCAGTTTGATGGAAGTTTCTTCTTCTAAATATTGGGTCCCAGAAAATGGGAGTTTTTATGCTCCAAACTATATCTCTTGTTCTCTTCCCAAGCTGTTGCTTGACAATGAAATAGGACACTAGTTGGTGTACAGTTGGTGGCTGATTTTCTTAGGAGATTTTCACTCAGAAATTCCGCAGAATATGCCAATACCTGTTTGGATATTAATGGCTGTTTCTATTATTTACAAATTAAGAAAAGAATTATGTAGTGTATCATAGGAAAATGATGTTTATATTGGCCTATAATCGCTTGCCGCGTAGTAGGCGGAGCGATAACATCAACGCATACACATCAAGATATTAATCTAGGATGTGTGTACAAATTTGGACTGTCTCATTCACATAACAATTTTTGGAAAATGGTCACTATCAGAAAGTCATTATTGTAATTTAATTCAAAGCCTTTGTATTTTTGCTCAAATAGAGCTTTTATATATCTATAGGATTAGTAAAATATACCTTTTGTGTCGAAATATAAATACTTAATTACACCCTTCACTATATATCATTTGTGTCAAAGTATAAACACTTAAGTTACACCTGTAACTGTTTAATCTTTTAGAGCAGAGATGATGGTTCAAAATGGTGTCAGAGTAGGAGATTCTTTGTTTGAATATGTGGTTCAACACTATGGAATTGAGAAACTGTCATGTAAAAACATTTATGGTAGTTTCGTTTTTGACGTGAGAAGCAAAATGTTCTCTGTAGAGAAGTTAGGTTTTAATTGTGTTCCTGACAAGTATGGTTCTTCTAAGGATTTTAGCAGTGCGCTAGGAGGGATTATTGCAAACCATCCTCGTGGTGTTCTTATTATTAACTTCTTGTGCATTGTTTTCTTTTCTCATTATCATTTTTGGAATTCATGCTTAGTTCAAGACAATGTCTATAACCTTCCATGTTTAATTGTATACTACAGTTTGTTTTTACTTGATGTGGATTTTGTTACCCTCTGTTTGGTTGCCTAAAAAAACTAAATGAAAAGGAAAAAAAACCAGACCATTTTGGTTTCCTGAGGATGAAAACCACACACCATTATGCAAGAAAAATGTTGTATTTTTCTATACTATGAACGTAGAAGAAAGTACCCAAAGACAGAATGAAGCCAATAAAAAGAGAGACAATGCAACCCGAAAAGGGGACGTGAGAAATAAATCATTACCAGAGGCATGAATCGATCCCTGACCTCTTGGTTGAGAAATTTTGTAGTTAGGCTGAGAAAATAGCAGTTAGATATAAGTTTTCTTTAAAAAAATATTAGGTCCCAACAAATCAATTCTTGTATTCTTCTCTTGACTTTTGCTTGGCAACAATACAAAACATGAGCTTGTGTAACTTTAGTGGCTGCATTTCTTAGGATAATTTTATTCTGAAATTCTGCAGAATAGGTCAATCTGACCGAGTCCTTCAAGGCCTGTTTATATCTCAATGGCTGTTTGTAACTTTGTATAAAAGAATTACGCAGTGTTTCCTACCCAGGTGACATTTTTTAAAGTCGTTCTCAGCTAATTGCTTCGCACATTGTAGGCGGAGCGATAAAATTAAACACATTCAATCAAGATATTAGTCTATGATGTTCTTGCGGTTGCCTCAATTCATATAAACATTGCTCGAAAATGGTCACTGTCAGAAAGCCTTTGTACTTTAGTTAAAATAGGGAATTTTTATATTTATAGGATCAGTAAAATATACCCTTTGGAATTGCAAAACTACCTTGTAAACACATTTATGGTATTTTCAATTTTGAGGCGGTGAGCAAAATGTTTTCTATAGAGAAATTAGATTTTGATGGTGTTCCTGACAAGCATAGTTCTTCTGAGAATTTTGGCAGTGGGCTAGGAGGGAACATTTCAAAACAACCACAATTTGATGGAGAACAAGATTGAGGGGGAATCAGGAGGCATCAATTCATTTTGCTCTGATGTTGGGTTCTTCCAAGGCAACATAGCCGAGGAAGAAATCCATCGTGAACAACAGCTACAATTGTTTTCGCAATTGGGGAGTTTAGATGATCTATATTTTGATATTGTCTCTCCACCATTGCAACCGTGTCATGAAGAATTTCCAAAGCTTGTCGATGTCCATTCTGACAGTTCAGAGGTAATTGAACCCAAGAATGAAAATCCGACCAGACTTCCTTCATTATCTCTCCAAATTCTTAACAACTATGGAAGCAAGTTCAGATGGTTCAATGATTTCTCATATTCTTTCCTGCTTCTGATTGGCAATGAAACTGGGCATGCGTTTTGAGTACCTCAAGTGGCTGAATTTCTTAAGAGATTTTTACTGGGAAGTCCACAGAATATTCAATTGGATTTCAATGGTTGTTTGTATCTTTTAAGAAATCAAGGAGGAGTTTTATGACGTATCCTACCAGATGGCATTTTATAATGTCGTATAATTGCTTGGCACTTTGTAGGGTGAGCGAGAACATCAAACACTTTCAACACCATAAGTATGATATTCCTAGGTATTGGAATATAAGATGGTCACTATCACAGAGCAATTTTATCGGTATTTAATTCAAAGCCTTTGTACTTAGGTAAAAATGAGGAGTTGTTATATCTATTGGATTAGTGTATTATACTTGACGCATTTAGAAGCTTTGTCTTGTCTTTGTGGAAATATATATGTAATTCAGTGTTTGGGTTTTTGAGCTGATGAGCGATCTATTCACTATGGAGCAATTCGATTTTGGTGGTGTTTCTGATGAACACAGTTCTTTCAAGGAATTCGACTGTGAGGTAGGAGGGTACATTGCAAAGCAAACTCAATTGTGTGGAATAGAAGATTGGTTGGTATCAATAGACACCAATTTATCTTATTCTGGGCTTGGGCTCTATGAAGACAACACCATTGCGGATGAGATGTTGCTATCCAAATATCAACGAGAACAACTACAATTGTTTTCTCATTTCGGATGTTTAGATGATTTATGTTTTGATATTGTCTCCCCACTATTTCCATCGTGTGATGATAAAATTTCAAACCCTGTCAGTATCCATCCTGAAAATGTGCAGTTTATGGAACCCATGAAGGACAAAGCAGTCATATCTCCTTTAGCATCACTTAAGATCATCAACAACTATGAAAGCAGATTCAGACGGTTGAGTGGGAAGCAGATAAATATGCAGACTTACGACACTAATGTGAGTAGTCAAAAATTGTCAACTGGTAAAATTAGTAGGTTAGCTAGAGAAAAGTTCATTCAATCTTGTTCTTAACGTGTTGATGAACTCTCCAGTCTTAGCCATCTGTATCCCAGTTCATTTTTGGGCCTAGCTATAGAGGAGGCTAAAGATGTGGAACTCGTCCATTGTCTTCTAGCTTCAGCTGAAAAAGTAGGCCAGCGACAGTTTGATCGGGCAAGCAAGCTGCTCAACCATTGTGATGGTTTGTCTTCCAATAAAGGAAATGCTGTTCAGAGATTAGCTTTCTATTTTTCTAAAGCTCTTCGAGAGAAGATCAATCGAGAAACAGGAAGAGTCACATCAAGGGGTTTGGAAAAGAAACAATCATTAGATCTTGAAGAGGCAATGATGATCCCAAACATTGCTATCGTTTCATTTTGCCAAAAGCTGCCCTCCTCTCAGGTTGTCCAATTCACTCTAGTTCAGATCATAGTTGACAATGTAGCAGAGGCAAAAAAGGTCCATATAATTGACCTTGACCATCAGGGGTGGAATGCTATGTACGGTTTTGATGCAACTCTTGCAGCTCGACGTAAATATCCACTTGAGCATCTCAAGGTCACTGCCATTGGAACTAGATTCAAAACAAAACTTGAGGAGACAGGGGAGCGGTTGATGAGTTTTGCTCGGTCCATAAACTTACCATTCTCTTTCCATGTAGTTATGGTAACAGACATGCTAGATCTCAATGAAGACGTTTTTGAGCTTGATACTGAGGAAACACTTGCTGTCAACTCATCATATTCATTGCGGAGCCTGATTGCATGGACAGATCTTTTGGAATGCTTGATGAGAGTGATGAGGAAAATTCATCCTTGTGTCATGGTGGTCAGTTAAATTGAAGCAAACCATAATTCACCAGTATTTGTTGCCCTTTTCATTGAAGCTCTCTTATCTTATGGTGCATTTTTTGATTCTCTTCAAGATTGTATGAGTCATGATGAATCAAATAGAATCATTATAGAATCTATGTATTTTAGTCAGGCAATCCAGAACATTGTGGCCGCAGAGGGAGAGGAGAGGACAATTTGACACATGAATATCAACTTCTGGAGGACATTATTTTCCAGATTTGGGATGTTGGAGACGGATTTAAGCATGTCATCCCTGTATCAAGCAGATCTGGTGCTTAAGAACTTTGCTAGTGGCAGTTCTTGCACACTTGAATTGGATGGGAAAAGTCTAATTGTTAGATGGAAGGGAACACCGATTCATTCTCTTTCCGCTTGGAAATTCCTATGACAGAAATTGATTGAATTTCATGAATTCTGCATTCAAGTCTTCCATAGATAGAAATTTGAGTCGCATTGTGACCGACTATATGATTAGCGAATAATTTTATTTTCGTGACATTGTCTGCTTGCTCTGTAATTCAGTAACCTGTACCAAATGTTCTGTTAATTTTCTTTCTTTGAGATTGGGGTTCTATGAAAATTGTTAGATTTTGCTTTGAAATTTTCCGTTTGGCAGGGTCATTACCAAGGAGGAGCTTTCTTGTCATTTCTTCTGCAGCATTGCATAGCTTTTAAACGAGCAAATGATGCTCCACATTTAATTGTGAAACCTAGTAGCATTTATCATAAAAAAAAGTGATTGTAATTTCCAGAATATACAAATGTAATACACTTTTTTTGGTCAGACAAAAAGAGTTTGAGAGGGCAACATGGTGGAACTTTTGCCTGTGATTACAGCAGTTCAAACCCACGAGCGAAGCCCACCAATAGGGCCTAGACGATGGGAAACGCAGGCGCTTCAAAAGGCTGACTTGAATCAAGGTATAACCCCGCACTAGAGAGTTACCAGTGAGAATAACAAAAATTTTTGTGAATTGAATCCTACTTGTTAATCTGAGGACTCTAACCGGGACACTATAAACACTGAACCACTAGCCTGGTGATAGAGATGTAATAGTTTAAACAAAACTAAAATTAGTTATATAACTGTTGACATAATGTAATTAAAGATTTTTATGAAAATAATAAAATTAAAAATTAAAAAAAAAAAAACACACAATCTATTGAGTGAGCTTAGAATTGTATGGGAAAAATTAATTAAAAATTTGTATTTAATTGTCTTAATAAAAATTTAACCAAAAAGAATGTGATGTAGAGGACAACTTATCGGTGTGCGCGGTATTTTTCAAATAATATTACCGATTTATGATTTTTTTAAATTTATTTATCAAATTACAACAATTTTTAAAAAGCGGGATTATTGATTCCGCTTTTAAGAGTAAATTCATTGGGTTTAACTCCCTCTTTTTGCATCTGATTTGAAACACTAATACTGTCTTATTCGACCAAAGATTAAAAACATAGTTGTTAATTCTGTTTTTTTAACATGGACCCTATTTTTAAAAAAATGTCGTAATTTAGTAAATAAGTTTAAAAGTACCGTAAATCAATAATATTGTTTGAAATTTGTTGTATTCTGGCAAATATCTTCAACGTAATGGCCGATCAAAGAGTAATCTTCTGGCCTCGGTGTCCTCAACTCGTCCCGACCGATCTCTGCTCTCATTCAAAACCTACTCTCTTCCCTCGCCAAAAAAAATAATTAACTATCTACTTGACACTTAAATTATATTGTTTGTATCAAATCAAGCTCTTAAATATATTTATCAATTTAGAATCTGAATTATGTAATTTGATTCAACGTAGCCTTTCCGTAAAAAATAGCCGCCAATTTTGATGGAAATCATCTTGTACACATCATTAAGTTATAATTTAGTAGTTACGTGATGCGCACGAGAGGATTTTCATCAAAATTAACGACAAATTTGGATAGAACGATCATATTGAGTCAGATTGCATAAATTAGACGCTAAATTAATATAAAACAAATTAGGAATTTGACCGACATAAATAATATAATTTTAGGGGTAAAGAAATAGTTAACCTACCCTTTATGATTTGACCATTTTGCACGTCACCCCATTATGGTATAAAAATCAGCATATTATTCCCCCATATAGTTTTGGACTAAAACTACTATCGTTACTAATTCTGTCCAAATGAATTATAAACCATGTGCCAAATCTGAGATTATGCAACGAAAAAAAAAATATCAAAGTCAAGGGGCAGGTGCTGCGGACGATTGTGGGTGTTGTCTGTTGTGGCTATGGGCGGTGGTCACAGATGCTTAGTCCGGGTTCTCTGTGTTATCTCTTTCTCCTCTGGCGCTAGTGGGTTGGGATAGTGGTGGTGTTGGGCAGTGGAGCTGTCCCTCCACAAATGAAGTTCGATTTTGGCTGCCTTTAATTTGGATTCTCGTTCGATTTGCAGTGCACCGTTCAATGCCGTTTCTGAGCTACATTTAGACGACAAGGAAGAGCTACAAAAGGGAATGGTGCAGATTAGTCCAAAACTACATGGGGGTTATGTCCTGATTTTTAAACCATAGAGGAGTGATGTGCGAAACAGCCAAACGGACAAGGGGGCAAAATGGAGTTTACAACCCCAACCCCACCCCCCCCCCCCCCCCCCAGCAAAAAAAAAAACCAGAAAGTCAGCGTAGATAGCAAGGGAGAGTTATCCAGTGCGAATGACGGAAAAGAGTGAGGCAGTTGAAAAATCTAGCAATAACACCGGTATGATCGAGGAGTGGTTACGAAAGCACCGTCTGGTTTACACTGGAGCCACCAGACACCCTTTTATCCTCAGCGTCCGAGATGGGTCCGTAGACCTCTCATCCTTCAAGCGATGGCTGGTAAAATAACTTCATTCTTACTCATGAGTTGGTCCTCTATTAATTTCTTTCTTTAATTCTTCATTTGGGCTAGGGTTTTGTATAATATCCGCATTTGGGTTTAGTTCTGTTTTTAGAAAAACTCTTGTGGGATGATTGGCTATTTAATACCATCAAGGATATAGTAGAAGCGAAAATAGGCTAATTTCTATATGCATCTTGATCAGAAAACTTAGTCACCTCGGATTCATTTGAAGTATTGTACTTAGGGGGTATCTAACACGAAATTAAAAAAATTGAGTCTTTCTTAAACCACCCATTTATTGAACCGACATGACACAATTAATAAACGAATCGGATGTAGGTGAAGTCAATTAAAAGAAATACACAATACAATTTATTTATATATCATATACGACACGAACCCAATATAACATAACTCATTAAATATGAATGAATAAACGATTAGGGTCTGAGGAAAGTGTTTTTTGACACAAACCCGCTAAGGGTAGAGACAAAATTGCTTCACCCGACATGATTGACAAGCCTAATTGTACTCATGCGCTGTCAACTTAATCTTATTCATCATCTTAGGCCAGCCAAGCCAAAACAAAGGAATGAATGATAACAGTTTGCTACTTTTGAGTATGTTGTGAATCATAAATATTGTTTCATGGGGGCACCATCTGCCGTTATCTTGCTTATGCATTGTGGCCAACCTTGTGAAATTAACACAAAACCTCACAACACATTGAAATGCAGGGACAGGATTATTTATTTGTCAAAGCATGTGTCCCTTTTGTAGCAAGTGTATTGCTGAAAGCTTGCAAGGAATCAGATGATAGTTCTGATATGGAAGTCATATTGGGGGGTGTGGCTTCTATAAATGATGAGATTGCTTGGTTTATGAAAGAAGCTTCAAAGTGGGGTGTTCCATTAACTAGCATTGTTCCTCAGAAGGCGAACCTTGACTACTGCAGGTACCAGCCAGCATCTGAAATCTATATTTGTTATGTGACTCTTGACTCCCAACTTCAAACCATATTTAGTAACCATTGGCCTATAATGTGTTAAATTGTTAAAATGCTATGCCGTTTGAGCTATTAGTTATCTGAGGTACTGAGATCGCCCTGTAACTGGATGTTTTGTGTCGAATGAATTTGTATATATTTGTCTTCAGTTGCTCAAAGTTAAAATGCCTTACTAGACATTGAAGGGTCTTATTTTGTCTCCTTTCTTGCAACACATTCAAATTCTTTTAAACTAATTGTTTGGCATTCTGAATCATTGAACTTGGTTTTAAAGTGATAGAAGTATGTATTTCTATACTATATGTGTTACTTCGATGCTTACTAGACATTGGACGTGAGTGTTGGTTCAAGAAATTATGATCTCATTTCATTTGGGAGTTAGACATACTCTAGTTCTTTGACCTTCTTCGTAATCTGATCTGTTGAGACTCTTGCAGGTAAGTGCTTTGTCATCAGATTGAATTTCTAGTGAAAGTTTATTGGTGTACCTGAATTTGCAAAATATGATTTTGAAGAAAATTTCGATATGTTGTGTGTTTTTGGAAAACGATTCACAAATAGGATTTGTAATGAAAATTGTGTACAGTCTAGTTACATGTTAAGCTGTTGGGCTTTTTTCTTTTATGTTTGCTTCTGAGTGGTCCTTTTTATAACTGAATATTTGAGAAAATTTGCTTCTTGTTACAGGTTTTTGGAAAGCTTAACGAGGTCAGACGTAGAATACACAGTGGCCATCACTGCATTTTGGGCAATTGAAGCTGTTTATCAAGAGAGCTTTGCCCATTGCCTGGAAGATGGCTCTAAAACTCCAGAAGAACTTAAGGAAACCTGCCAAAGATGGGGCAATGAAGGTTTCAGTCAGTATTGCCATTGCCTTCGAAATATAGCTAATCGTTGTCTACAGAAGGCAACGGATGATGTGCTCTCAAAAGCTGAGGAAGTTGTATTACGTGTTCTTGAACATGAAGTTGGTTTTTGGAACATGAGTCGTGGGGAGTCCTAAGCGCTTATGTCAGATACGGAATATTGCATGACATATACCAGTTTGTTTTTCCTCGAGTCTGTTATGTTACACGCTTTGCTGTGTGGAGTGGGAGAGTGGTATTGTGTTGCTTTCATTAAATACAAGCATATGTATGTATAAATAAGTCATGCAAGTTTCTGGAGTATGTAAGTGATATGTGTAATCAAGTTCTTGATGTAGAGTGAAAGGCTCTTGAATCATGATAGCTTTTTTTCCTGATACAGACATAAGATTGCTCTTAGGGACAGCCCATTGAGTCTTTGTTGTTGGTCCTGCATTGGAGAAGATTCTGAAGCCATGATTGTGCATTTACCAAGATATGCAAGACACATTTGTGGTTAACTTTTGACGGAATTTTTCACATATGCATCACGTGAGTCAGAGATTAGGGTGTAGTTAAGGGGTCACGGGCTGTCCACATAAAGAACTCCGTCAAACTTAACGGCAAATTTAGACAGAAAGGTATGACACAAATGGTATAGTCTATGGGCTTGATTGACACAAAGTATAGTTCAGGGGCTTGATTGACATAAATAGTATAATTCAATGGTCAAATAGATAGTTAATTTTTTTTCTTTCACATAATGACAGTTTTTATTCATAACCAATTTAATAATTGTGATAAATTAGATCAACAAATTATGTCAATATATTAAATCTAATAACATTATTGTGTAATTGTATTCACCGTGAGAGAGAGATGATACATCATCAAGAGGAACATAATGAAAAAAAAAAAATTAACAACAACAAATCAAGAGAACTCAAGAAAATAGAATAGAACTCCATTAACAAAAGGGCAGAAAGAACATGGTTTCATTGGACACAATCCAATAAGCAATCAACTAGAACTAATACTGAAATCCACCCGACAATAGAATCCGCCTTTAATCTAACGACAACAATAGATTTGATCAAAAACTTCAAAACGGGGAAATTCCAGCAGAGGTCATCATGGGCAGGCCCTGGACATGAGGCTGCCATGGTCTAAGCCAAAAGTCCTGACCCTGAGCCTGAGGAGGAATGTCCATTGCATTGCCACTTGACTCACACACATACCCTGTAACCATCTCAGCAATCTCCAACCTTTGTCTCAGTTCTTCACGCTGAGCTCTCAAAATCATGTTCTCAGATTCAACCACCGCAAATTGTTCCGAGACTTCATTGATTTTCTGAATGAACCCGTTGCGTTTTATAGTTCCATTCATGATACGGTCATTGAGATCCTTCATGTGCTGTTCTCTCTTCATCCTTGACCGCCTCGCTGATTCGCGATTCGATATCATTCTCCTCCGTTTCTTCTCGTCCATCACTGCGTATCTCTCTTCCTCTCCAGAAATTGAGCCGCTACGTTTTCCAGATGACATGTTGAATTTTTCAAAGAGTTTCTGAGGTTGGATTTGTTTATAAACAGATTTCAATGGGATAATCCGATTGATTTGAGATTGAGAAGACCAGAGATTCAAGAGAATACATAAAACCAATAGAGAAACACTACGGAAAAGGATTGAACAAGTCTAATTCTACGCAGCAGGGAAAAGAAACTCATATCACTAATGAAACAAGCTTAAGATCACAGAAGCCATAGCCAAAAATTCTAAGAGAAGATAAAAGAGAGGTGAAGGGTTGTGAAGATTATCCATGGCTGTATATGTAGGATTATTCTTGTAGAATATCTTGATGTTGGAAGTAATCTTCTCAGAAAGTCAAAGATGGGATGATAAGTAAGACTTTGTGAAAGACATGGTTGATTGACAGCGCACAATAGTTTTCATTAAAAAATGTAAAATTTTTGGATTGGATAAGGAATGCCCATGAAATAATGGATAACTATTAAAGTATGCGTTTTTTTATTAATTTTGTCTTTATTGTATTAATTTTATTAATTTAATCCTTAAAAATTCAATTTATATCACTTTAATCCCTAATCAGACAATTTGTCAAATTTTTTTATGGAAATGATCTCGTGTTATTTTTTAGAAGATATCACATGTCTAACACGTGATCATTCTATCAAAAATTTAACTGACTGTCTATGTAAAGATTAAAATAACACGAATTAAATATTTTAAAGATTAAATTGACAAAATTAATATAATAAATACTAAATTAACAAAAAATATATACTTTACAAACTAAAAATACTATTAACCCTAATTAGAAACAAAATGAGTTATCTTTGAAAGTTGATGATGGTAACCCTTTGACGAGCTTGTTATTAGGTGTTTATCCTTAATTATTGGGTTAAGATCCTATTAATTTCAAGGTTGCATTCTATTAGTTGTCTTTCCTAATTCATAAGATTGTAGCCAGTCAAGCTTTTTTCCTCTACTTTTTTTTCCCCCTTTTATCTTATATTAAATTCAAAATTTAGTAAGCAATATGTGGTGTATAAAGACTTTCCAAACTTGAACTTTAACCTTATCCATTTATTTTGGAAGTGGTAAAATATCACACTTTTTCTCAAATTTTTTTAATGTTCAAGCATCTTGAGCAATGTCAATCTATCAAATTTATTAATTTTATTTATTGATTTAACCACTCATAATTATTTGATTAACAGTGAATTTCAATATTTATTAAGACACTTAACTAATTCAATAAATGAATGAAATTAATAAATTAAATTTAAATAATATTATTTTTTTTCATAAATTCAAAAATATGTAATTGAAGTCACGTGAGTCCTCGTAAATACAAGAATTAAAAAAAAAGTATAAATACAAATATGCAATGATTGCCACGTGGATGAATCAGACACAATGTAGCCCCGTAAAAAAAATGACACAAAAAACAAAGGAAACTCTATTGTATCAAAAAAATTTCGATATCGGTACCATCGATTATTATTTTTGTATGATAAAGTTATAATTTTTAAAAGAGAAGTTATGATCAATCATAGATATTCATTCCATAATCGATTATACCCTTTAAAGTAATAACTTATATCTCAAAATAATTATAATTTAACTTTAAAAAATTATAATTTTTAATATTAGTACCGCCTACGGTTCCTTAGAACTTCCCCTAAAACAAAAGGCTGCTAACAAAGGCACGTAAAGTATAGATTGGCACACGTGGGGGGAATTGTATAACAGTGGAGTCGTGAAGAAACTTCTTATCTGTTTTTTTTTTTTATGTAAAAAAGGGCTTAAACATATAAGCCAGCAGCCAAAGAATTCAAAAGTATGATCCTCTATTCAAAGTTGCTTCATCTTTCTAATTGTTAATTCATTTTTCCTCCTCTTATCCACCCACCTTTTGTTTGAGTCCAATTTGAATTTGGAAACCAAATTTGAAGATGGGTCCTCCATGGGTCACCACAGCACGACACATTGAGCTACTATTTATCCTTCTACTTGTTAATTCATTTTTCCTCCTCTTATCCACCCACCTTTTGTTTGAGTCCAATTTGAATTTGGAGACCAAATTCGAAGATGGGTCCTCTATGGGTCACCACAGCACGACACATTGAGCTACTATTTATTGAAAACTTGGTACAGTTGCTATCTCATTCAGGTTGTATGTAACTCTGTCTTCTTGTGGTAGTGTTATCTTCGGCACCAATACAAACAACCAACTAGAATTTATTTAGAGTTCATTTGGTAACGTTTTTGTTTTTGTGTTTTCAAAAAAATTAAAAATATAAACAATTTTTATATTTATTTTATGATAAACATTGAAATAGAAAGCATATTTAGGAGTCATTTGTGTCTATCAAATTATGAGAATAAAAATAAAAATAAAAAACATGTTTGGTAATTACTTTAAATTTTATCCTTAAGTCTCATGTTTTTTCTTTCAACAATGATATTGAGACTTAACAAATTGAAATAATTGATAAATTAAAGATGTGGTCAACAATCTCAAATAGCAATTCAATCAATCCTAAATAGTAATTCAAAAATTTTAAATAACAATTCAATTAATACCAAATGGCAATTAATCACAAACACAACACACACAGAAACAAACCAATGGTAAGAGCCTTGATAAAACCAACCCTTCTGCCTTTGAAGTCGTTGATTAGGGTTTTTAAAATGGTATGGTTGCCATTTTCTCGTCTCTTTTTTTTTCTAAAAAGAGAAATTTTATTTATTCACAAAAGCAAAACATTACAAGAAGCAAAAGAAAAGTATAAACCACCTTCCCATCATAAACAAATCAAAATCAAAAATACAAGAAGCAAAACAGGTCACTGCCTTTACAAAGCAAAAACCAACACCAAGACAGAGCTTCATCCAAAAATAAAATATGCAGCTAGCAAAGTCCCATCTAACAGCAAAACAACACCTCTCCTCATATTTCAAACAAATCAACACTTGAATTTAAAGAAAAACTATCAACCCTTATTATCAAACAACAGTCTCCTTCACCTTCGCAAAAATGGTCATCCCCTCACATCTTGAAGCAGAGCCAATCTCACTTCACAAGGCAGCCGTAAGTCAACCAAATAATCCAAGGATCTTCTAAGCATAACTACTTGATTAGACAAACGATCAACAACATTAGAACAAAACCCATAAATATTAGAGCATTTTCTCATCTCTTCTCTTCTTAGATATAAGCAACAAATATATATATAGGAAGATGAATTATAACAAAATTAGGGTTTATGAAAAAGCTACGATTTCTTCTTCATGATGCCATATTACATATGGACATAGTCATATACGTATATGTGTGTGTGAATTAAGTGTAATTTGGGAGATTTTGAGGAGGAAGAGAGACAATATGAGAGACTAGAACTGGATTGAAGGGGTTTCACATAGACGAGAGTGAGACAGAGAGAGAACATTGATGGAGGCGGAGGCGGAGGCAGAGGCAGAGGATCTGTGACTAGAAGTGAGCTTTCCTCTTCTTCGTTGATTTGTGATTGGAGGATGGTTCTTCGTCGATCTGTGAGTGGAGACTTCTTCTTTGTCAATCTGTGGAAGCTTCTTCTTCGTCATTGAGAGAAAGAGGAGAAGAGAGTCGTTGAGAGCTCTGGAGAAGAGAGAGAGAGAAAGAAGATAGAGTTGTTTAGGCAGTGGTGGTGTGTGTTATGTGAGAAAGAAAATGAAAAAAAGACCCCATATTTATACTTCATCACATGAAGTGGTCTTTTGTGGCTAACAAAACTCGAAGTTGAAACCTCATTTACACCAAAAGCACGTGTTTCGTGTTTCTTATGTTTCATAGAACACAATTTTTTTATTCTCATTTTTTTGGCTTGTTTCCAAAACAACTAAGATGAAACAAAAAACAAAAACAATTACCAAACATATTTTTATTTTTATTTTTAATAAAAATTGAAAAACAAAACACAAAACAAGAGACAAAAACAATTATCAAACAACCTCTTAGTTTGTGAACTTTGATTATCTTAAAGTTGTACAAATAACGAGATCAAAATATTAATTTTTACCAAAGACAAAGTTGAGGGTGCTATTGTGCCTTCTTTCGAACCTTTTTTTTTGTTTTTTTTCGTTCAATGGTTAAAGGTATTCAAGTTAGCTTATACGCACTTTGATTAATCTCCTCTCAGTCTGGTCAAATGCAGGTTATCCATGCCAAGACTAAGATATTTATGAAGGATAAATCTCTTATGACCTAATTTCAAAAAATTGTCAAGATTTAAATTCAGGACATTTGAATTTATAGCTCGTATTTGTTATCACTTGAGCATCCCTTTAAATTCAAGACTAAGATTTATCTCTCACGAATACCTTATTTTTGATGTGGCTCTGTCTTTGACTAGACCGGAGAAGAAATTAGTCGATGTGCGCGTAAATTGATTCAGACATCCCTAACCATTGAACAAAAAAAAAAAAAATCCAACCTCCATATTTTTCTAGCATTAAAGCCAATACTTTACTTTAAATCAAGCCATTTGGAGGCAATTAAATGGTTCAATCTGAAAAGGGGGATCACACTATGGATCCAACTCTTGTCTCTGGGAGCTTCAAAAGTGATTGCAAATGAGAAATTGCAGCGAAACTTCCAGAATTTTTCGCCCAAAAGAAGGATTCCTTTGGAGGAGGAGGAGTTGATTGAGGACCAAGCAGCCAGAAAGAGAAATAGACTGGATCACCCATCAAAGAGGGAGTTGTATATCCATCAAGCTTTTCAACTGGGTCTGGATACATCCTTAATTTGTAGGCTAATGGGCAGAGCTAGAGGAAAGAAGATGGTAAGGAAACATGCCTGCATCACAAGTATTAGAAGGAAAGCTCATGCGTTGTCTCAGTCAGATTTGTCCTTAGCACCAGTGGCACAGCAGGTGGCGGAGGACGTTTTTGCAATGCAGGAGGAGTAAGGGGAAAATAATCTTAACTTAAGCAACACCCAGGGGGCATCTCAGATTCAAAAGACTCCAGTGCAAGAAATTACTGCTTGTTTGTATTCTGAAAGGGCGGTGGTGGCTAGCCCCAAACAGCCACAACCTCCATGTTAGTTCTTTCTTGGAATTGTCGGGGAGTGGGGCGACCCCAGACAGTTCACACCTTGAGAGGGTTAATTAGTACCCATCGCCTAACTGTAGTCTTCTTAATGGAGACCAAAAATGGAACAGAAAATTTGAAACGACTAAGGCGCTCTCTGAATTATCCGCACGGTGAGTACGTGGAACTGACTAGTATTTTTGGGGGTTTAG